CTATGTATGTACTTTTCCTAAATAAAATGTTATTGTTATTAACTAGGGGGTTCAGTTACTAAACCCATTATGTGCCTCTGTAACTCTTTCCACCACCGCCCACGGGATGGGTATGGGGTGCATAATAGAGAAAGTAATTGAAATGATCTCCCTTAGCGGAATACTGACATTATGTAACAGTCGCAGGAGATGGAAACATTCAGTAAACTACATTTACAAAACCCTGTTCTTAAATGCAAATCCTGCTCTGAAACTCTCCCTGGACAGATGTAATAGGACCCATTATCACCACACCAGAAATAAATAGCTCTTTGATATATCCAGAGTCAAATTTAATCTGTGTAAACACACTATGCAAATAAAGGGACCCAGTCCATGGAACTCACTCCCTAATGAATTGAAAAGCTGTCCAACTTTTGCCTCATTCAAAAACAAAACTAAAAAGTACCTAATTTCATCATCATAGTTTCCTACCTTGTGCTTTAAAATTGCAGTATCTAGTGCTACCCAATCCCCCAATCTTTATGTACCTAATCCAAACAACTTTACTATTGTGATCTTTGCTGTATTCTATGTGCTATCATTATGCTGTATTGTGCCAACCCATCAACCCATCCTCCGAATTGACAGTACGATTTAATACTAAGTGTAATAAGTACACTTTCGTACTGTCATAACCAGTGCATAATTGTACTTATGGGGCTGTTACACGGGCTGATTGTGCCTATTAATCTTTGTTAAATTACCAATCAAGCTGTCAATGCAATCATTCAGAGCTATCAATGTGCTTTAATATACCTACTAATTTCTCTCATCTCATTTTTTTTCTTGCAATGTACCTGTTATCATTATATAAATTTTGCTAGAATTTACCTACTTAAAATTACATGTTAGATTAAGGACCTGCCCGAAACGATGCGCATACAAGGCTTTACAAGAAAGTAAACACCATGCTATGTATCCTCACAAACCCAATGTACCTTCTTGTATATAAATAAATAAATAAATAAATAAGTTTGGAACTATATTTTTTGCCTGTAATTACTTAGCAGATGTTTACATTGATTTTGGAATAGTATTTACATACAGTTACATTAATTTGGACTGAAAATAACATTATTTTGACTGCATATAAACATAATAATAATTCACACATTCCTTACACTTATTCAGAAAAAAAGACGTTTTACACCAGTTATCAGTGATTTTGACATTGTCGTTTAATCAATGAGTTTTAACTAAATATGACAGCCACTGATAATAGTTCTGACATAATGTGCGAGTAAAGTTTGTCGGAATGTGACACTAAGACTGATTATATTGAGTTGACACACAAGGCAGCCGACATTGTCGTTCACTTTGTCGGTCCAGACACCGACACAGCCTGATCTTATCCGTGATTTACGTGCAGAATGGTTTGTGTACTGGTAATCTTGTACGTGGCGTATATTCCAGTTATCAGGTAATCTTGTACGTGGCGTATATTCCAGTTATCAGGTGATCTTGCACTTGGCGTATATTTCAATCAACAAGTGAGCTTCTATGTAGCCTAGGTTAACAAGTGAGCTTTCGGGTAGCGTATACCCCAGTCATTAGATGCCCTTGTACGTGACATATATTCTAATCAAGTGATCTTGAACGTAGAATATATTCCATACTGCCGGTGAGCATGTACGTGGTGTGGGTACCAACCATCGGGTGGCCTTGAATGGTGCGGTGGTAGAGTTGTTGTCACTTAGAACAAATAAACGAGAGGAAGAGGAGACGGAAAGGGGTGGGGGAGGGTTGATGGAAGAGGTACGGTGAGGGGGGATGGGGGGAATAGGACGAGGAAGGGGAATTATATATTGAAATCTAAATATAATATAAGTCTGGGTTTAGGGCTTACAACCAAAGATGCGCCTACATTTACCATTGGCATCCGGCAAGTAGCAAGTGGGACAACCTCCTGGCACGCATACTGGAACAATATAAGTATCATAATTACTCTCTCCCAATATGTATATATATCTCTCTCTCTTAACATTAATGTTACTCCCTTTCTCTCTTTATGTACTAGTGGCTTTACAAGATTGTAATTACCATATTATGTATCATCACAATCCCAATGCACCTTCTTGTATATATATAAATAAATAAATAAATAAATAAATAAATAAATAAATATGTATATGTACATATATATGTGATAAAATCATTATGGGGGGGCAATGGAGTAACTTGAACTAGCCTCCTGATGTTTCCTAGTCACCTGCCTTTACCCACTCAGTCACGATAGAACAAAAGTCAACCAACCAGGAACTCTACTGAATTCACTGGGCGGTTTTGGAGGCCCGAACTCGTGCCCAATCAGGATTTTACGATTGGCCCGCCTACACTCTGGTCTGCGGGGTAATGGTGTTTACAATAGGCGGATCTATTGGCCTTTGTCCTATCAGGGAAGAGTACATGGGTCTAGGTTAAGGTGTCACCCCCATTGCCGAAAAATTATTTTCTCATTGAAAATAATATATACATGTGTATATATATGAAAATGTGTATAATAATATCAAGAAGCTACAGATATAATTAAATAATGATAATATATATATTTAATGCCTATCAATAAAAATAGACATCTACATATGGTATACAAATGAACTCAAACATTTCTGGATGCAGAAGCCTGATAATGTGAGGATGAGGATTTTAAGAAAAGTATTTATTCAATCTATTTTTTTGAAGTGTATACGGGGGATGGGGGGGGGGAAGATGTTCTCAATTACGTCTTCTTATTTAGCTTTTCTTAGCAACAAAAGATTTTCTTATTTAGCTTTTCTTAACAACAAAAGAGTATATAACGTCATTTGAAAATAGTATGCCTACAATTATTTTCTGTGTTTATATACGACATGTTTAACTAGACAGTACTGAAGTATGTTTGTGAATTGAGATTGATGCGTTGTTTGATAATCTTGAATACTTGTATGGAATCAATTAATTTTCTTCGACTTTCCAAGCTGAAATAATTCATAATAAAGTCCAGCTTCTCCTTTCGTTGGTGAACAAATTCAACTTTTCAAAACGGGTTTCATATTATTTGTTTTATTCTTGCTATCAATTTCGTCGATAAACACCTTTTAACTTGTCACATGCGATAGTATAATCACCCTTCCAAGAAGATATTAATTCGACGACGTTGACTAATTTCATGAGTCAACTCATCCACCACAAATTAGAGCACAATACCAACTTTGGGTGAGACGTACACAAATATACCATGAACGCAAAACCAAAATCACGTTTGTTGCTATTGGAATGCTCTAAATGACAAGCTAAAATATGAAACAATAACTATAAACTTAATCTAACCTGTCCCAGGCCTAATATACCCAATCTTAGGCCTAATTAAGTACATATGTGTGCCCAGCCCGTCCTCCAAAAATGGGGAGGTAAATGTAACAGCACAACTAAGTGCAATTATGTACAATTCCTAGTAGTTAGGAATTGTACTTATTTTCACTTAGTATTATATCGTACAATCAAATATATTGTGAATATTTGAGTTTACCTGAAAAGCTGAATTGAAAACCACGACCTAACCTAATCTTCTTAGTGTTTGAAGATTAACATTTTATTGCTTCTTAATTATAATTAGTACTTAACCTATAGCTATACTGATATTACAGTTTTATTAAACTAATAAAACAAAACAAAAATATTTCAATAAATTGTAAAGTAATTCAGAATATTTTAAAATTTTGTGTAAAATCTCTATTGTTTAATAAGACTGAAAAAGAAATTCCTGATATTTAAATTAAAACTTATTTATATCGAATGTTTTCCTAAATCCTTCCCGTGCATCTTCCATCCCCTGTTTGTCAGCTCTTTGGACATTTTCGCTTCACTTCTAACTGCACTTGAAAAATTCATCCTAAGATTCTGAGCGTCTTGACAGAAAACGAGGAGAATAAATGGGGAGGTAAATGTAACGGCATAAGTGTAATTATGTACTATTCTAAACAGGAAATGAAATAAGTACACTTAGTATTAAACCGTACTGTCAATTCGGAGGATAGGGCCTGGAAAAAGTAAGATTTGGTTGTGGAATTTTTCTCTGGCCCTCTACAAAATTAAAATACAAATCGTGTTGTTATTTGTGCGAAAATCCATTTTTAGTAGGTTCCACCTATAGCTGCGATTATTTCTGGATGACACCAAAATTATGGAACTTGCTTTGGCCACCGGCAATTACAAACAAAAGCATTCACTTTGACCAGTCAAATATGTTGTAAATTAATGAATAATAACAGAAAATTTGAATTAAGCCAATTACAGCATTAAAGCATTACTTTAATGAATAAATTTACAATTCAGGTGAAGGTTTTGTAGTATATAACATTGGTAACTGCACACAAATCATATACTTCTAGCTTGCAATAGCCACAAATTACCCGGCATGTCAAATATAATAATAAAAACAATACTGAATCCCTCACATTGCTGCAAATAACTACACAAAAAGGACAGTTAAATCAATCAATGTTTTGTATTTCACCTTGTATGTATGTACTTTACCTGAATAAATATTTGATTTGATAGCAAGCTAATTTCTAAGTAAATCGAAACCAGTGGCATGTAAAATAGAAAAATGGTTAATAATAATCAAAAAATAATATCAATGACAAAATATGAGTCTTTAGCTCAGTATTCATAAGGTCCCCGTCTTAACCTTGGGATTAACAATGCTGACAGTGCAGAGCGTCCAGCCATGGTACGGCAGGTGGGCTGTGATCGAGTATTACTCAAGACGATTTTACAAAAGCACGTTTATTGACAAAACCGTATATATTGTTGAAACGTATTACCTTAAGCTATATTAGGCTTGGTTGGGTTACAATAGATTGGGTAGATTTTCAAACCCGTCTTGTGTGTACAATGTGACTTAATTGTATCCTTGGTGCGTGCCCTCGATTACAAGCGAGAGACAACTTTCAGTACGTTTGATTTCTAGTACTCACGTATGCAGCGGGTTCCTTCGGCGACCTGGTTCTTGTTGCGGCCTGCCGGTGACGCCTGGACCCCCTCCAGGAGGCAGGGCAGCACCGTCAGCGTCGCCGCCAGCACCACCACACACCACCACCACGAGGACTTCACAACGCCACCTCTGCTGTCTGCCATTCCTGCAAGCCACGAAGATATGGAAGAAGGATTTAATGCCTCTGTAATTCTTTCCACTACCGCCCACAAGATGGGTATGGGGTGCATAATAAATGAACTAAACTGATATATTAATTCTTCCCTATTCTCTGTTGATTCCTACGTCTACAACAATTACTACTACCACTACTCCTACTACTATGCACATTATGCACACATCTCCTGTGCTAGATAAGTACGACGGGCTCACCATAGCCCGTGCTGCTTAGAACTTCCGAATAGCTGAATCTAAAACAACAACATCCAAAGAGAGAACGATTAACACAGTAACCCGTCCACACACGCCATCATTTTTTTCTCTAACAAAGAACGTGTTCCGTTGCATGGTCGCCGATTCCACAGCTTACAGGCACCTTTTATCGCCTTGTTCCGCGAAATAGGCATTCACCATTGCAAAACATTGAATAGAATTTGGAAGTGCTACGTCAGGATTATTTCTGGTTCCTCTGTATAGTTTTCTTCCGACGTGCGAAATTAACGAAGATACACAAATTTAGAAGAGTAGGCACCACAGCTTTGTGAATTACCTGAGGTTTTCAGCTGTCGCAGACGCTGGGAGGGAGAAGTGTGAAGACAACGCTGTCAGAGACGCAGGAAGAGTGAGGCGAGGGAACATGCGCGCTCACCTTGACTTGAAGACTGGGGTTTGATAAGATAAAAGCCTTGTAATATTTGTTTTAAAGTACATCGCGTCGTACCTCCCTTCCTCCTTCTCTTGGCCTTCCGAACTTAAGAAATTCTGCCTCGTCTTCCTCCAATTCTTATTTATCCACCTCTTCTTGTTCTTCCTACTCTCTCTACCCATCCACATCCTCCTCCTCTTCCTACTCCTATCTACACTTCTTGCCCAATCCTTATTGGTTACAAGTTACAGCATTTCAATCATTCGGCGCGTTCAAAGACGGCTCAAGTTACTGCACAGTCATAAAAAAGAAAAATGGTAAAAATAATTATAATATAATATTTCCACGATTCAGTGCTTAGCTTTTAAGAAAATCGTAAAGTTATTATTTAGTCAAATTTACTTTATTATTTGTATTGAGGCAGGTATTTTCTCTCCTGATTCCATGTATGACTAACTGTGAGATGGGAATAAAGTCCAGCAGTATGTGACTAGACTAGTCCCAGAGCTGAGAGTTATGAGTTATGAGCAAAGACTAAATAAATTAAAGTTCACGTCATTAGAAGATAGAAGAGTCAGAGGGGACATGATAACAACATATAAATTCTCCGTAAAAAATTGACAGGGCAGAACAAAACTGATTGAAATTCCTTATCCTGACCCATTCCCAGTGCCATATAGTGGTAATGGCTTGGCGCTTTTCCCTTGATAGTTCCCTTCCCTTGAAATGGGATTGTACACAAGCATAGGAAAACAGGTGGAAAATAATTACTGAAATAAGTTACAAAGACGCAGGGTGTCATAATTGTGAACAGTGGAAACGCTAAAAAGTGAAGTTTTGTCCGTATTGATAAAAGCCTTTTCAATTACATATTATTTAACATTACAGTTTGGTAAGAAAGCATAGGTTAGGTTTGGTTTAGATGCGTTAGATTTCAATTCTTAATAATATATCTACGGTGATATAGTAAGATTTACGTTGGAAGCCTATGCTATGACCTTTTTTTTTAATGTAACTTACAGTAGGTCTATGTGCTCAGTGTCAGGCCATCACTTGTTTATAAATTTTAATAGTACTAAAATCTATTTTAATAAATGACACAATGCCAGGCTGTCAACCCCACTTGCTACATTACTCCTAAGTTCAAGTTCAAGTTTAGTTCATTTATTATGCACCCCATACCTATCCTGTGGGGCGGTAGTGGAAAGGGTTACAGAGGCACATAATGGGCTCAGGGACTGAACTCCACAATTAATTTAGCTAAGCAAGTTACAGTCTTGATGAGCTGCTTACAAAATTCAGTAAGTCAAATCAATATTTTTAATTTGACTTCATGCAAGAACACTTCCAAATTCAACAAACAATTTCAGTCTAATGAAGGTTTCTTCTCGTCATTTATTCTTATTTTGCGATTTGCTTCTTTATCTGCTTGACGAAAAATTAATATTTTATCTTTTATTGAGGGAATTAGAGCAGCTGGTGTCAAACAACAGTGATAAGGGTGAGAAGTTTCCCCTGGGGTAGTGGTGCTATTTGTTCATTGTTCCCTTGCAATATGTACCTATTCTTATATATATATGTATATATATATATATATATATATATATATATATATATATATATATATATATATATATATATATATATATATATATATATATATATATGTCGTACCTAGTAGCCAGAACTCACTTCTCAGCCTACTATTCAAGGCCCGATTTGCCTAATAAGCCAAGTTTTCCTGAATTAATATATTTACTACAATTTTTTTCTTATGAAATGATAAAGCTACCCTTTTCACTATGTATGAGGTAAATTTTTTTTTATTGGAGTTAAAATTAACGTAGATATATGACCGAACCTAACCAACCCTACCTAACCAAACCTAACCTATATATATAGGTAAGGTTAGGTTAGGTAGCCAAAAAAAGCTAGGTTAGGTTAGGTTAGGTAGGTTAGGTAGACGAAAAAACATTAATTCATGAAAACTTGGCTTATTAGGCAAATCGGGCCTTGCATAGTAGGCTGAGAAGTGAGTTCTGGCTACTAGGTACGACATATATATATATATATATATATATATATATATATATATATATATATATATATGTCGTACCTAGTAGCCAGAACTCACTTCTCAGCCTACTATTCAAGGCCCGATTTGCCTAATAAGCCAAGTTTTCCTGAATTAATATATTTACTATAATTTTTTTTTTTATGAAATGATAAAGCAACCCTTTTCTCTATGTATGAGGTCAATTTTTTTTTATTGGAGTTAAAATTAACGTAGATATATGAACGAACCTAACCAACCCTACCTAACCTAACCTAACCTATATTTATAGGTAAGGTTAGGTTAGGTAGCCAAAAAAAGCTAGGTTAGGTTAGGTTAGGTAGGTTAGGTAGACGAAAAAACATTAATTCATGAAAACTTGGCTTATTAGGCAAATCGGGCCTTGAATAGTAGGCTGAGAAGTGCGTTCTGGCTATTAGGTACGACATATATATATATATATATATATATATATATATATATATATATATATATATATATATATATATTATTAAATATGACCGAAAAAGTAAGATTAATAATTCTAACACGAATTTTCTCAATCTTTCGTACATTTCTTTTCACTGTTGGAGGTAAATCAAAAATCAATTCTCCAAAATTCATTTTTATTTCTAGTCTGACGCGACACGAGCGCGTTTCGTAAAACTTATTACATTTTCAAAGACTTTTAGTTTACAAATACACAACTGAATAGAACTTACGTATCTCCGATTTTATATCTACATTTGAGTGAGGTGGATGGGGTGAGGTGGCATTAATAGGGTATTAATTTCATCAACACAAGACAGAACAAGAGGTGGCATTAATAGGGTATTAATTTCATCAACACAAGACAGAACAAGAGGTGGCATTAATAGGGTATTAATTTCATCAACACAAGACAGAACACGAAACAATGGGTATTGAATAGAAGTGTTTGTAGAAAGCCTATTGGTCCATATTTCTTGATGCTTCTATATTGGAGCGGAGTCTTGAGGTGGGTAGAATATAGTTGTGCATTAATTGGCTGTTGATTGCTGGTGTTGACTTCTTGATGTGTAGTGCCTCGCAAACGTCAAGCCGCCTGCTATCGCTGTATCTATCGATGATTTCTGTGTTGTTTACTAGGATTTCTCTGGCGATGGTTTGGTTGTGGGAAGAGATTATATGTTCCTTAATGGAGCCTTGTTGCTTATGCATCGTTAAACGCCTAGAAAGAGATGTTGTTGTCTTGCCTATATACTGGGTTTTTTGGAGCTTACAGTCCCCAAGAGGGCATTTGGGGCATAGACGACGTTAGTCTCTTTTAAAGCGTTCTGTTTTGTGTCTGGAGAGTTTCTCATGAGTAGGCTGGCCGTTTTTCTGGTTTTATAGTAAATCGTCAGTTGTATCCTCTGATTTTTGTCTGTAGGGATAACGTTTCTATTAACAATATCTTTCAGAACCCTTTCCTCCGTTTTATGAGCTGTGGAAAAGAAGTTCCTGTAAAATAGTCTAATAGGGGGTATAGGTGTTGTGTTATTTGTCTCTTCAGAGGTTGCATGGCGTTTCACTTTCCTTCTTATGATGTCTTCGACGAAACCATTGGAGAAGCCGTTGTTGACTAGGACCTGCCTTACCCTACAGAGTTCTTCGTCGACTTGCTTCCATTCTGAGCTGTGGCTGAGAGCACGGTCGACATATGCGTTAACAACACTCCTCTTATACCTGTCTGGGCAGTCGCTGTTGGCATTTAGGCACATTCCTATGTTCGTTTCCTTAGTGTAGACTGCAGTGTGGAAACCTCCGCTCTTTTCCATGACTGTTACATCTAGAAAGGGCAGCTTCCCATCCTTTTCCATCTCGTAAGTGAAACGCAGCACGGAACTCTGCTCAAATGCCTCCTTCAGCTCCTGCAGATGTCTGACATCAGGTACCTGTGTAAAAATGTCGTCAACATACCTGCAGTATATGGCCGGTTTCAAGTTCATGTCGACTAAGACTTTTTGCTCGATGGTACCCATGTAGAAGTTTGCAAACAGGACACCTAGGGGAGAACCCATGGCGACCCCATCTACTTGCTTATACATGTGCCCATCCGGGCTCAAGAAGGGTGCCTCTTTAGTACAAGCTTGGAGTAGTTTCCTCAGAATATTTTCTGGTATGTCAAGAGGAGTACAGGCTGGATCACGATACACTCTGTCGGCTATCATCCCGATTGTCTCGTCCACAGGTACGTTGGTAAACAGCGATTCTACGTCCAACGAGGCTCTTATCCCTGTGGCCCGTGTGCCCCGCAGTAAGTCAACAAATTCCTTTAGAGACTTCAGGCTGAAGGCGCAGGGAACATAAGGAGTCAGCAGGCCGTTGAGTCGCTTCGCCAGTCTGTACGTGGGTGTGGGTATCTGGCTAATGATTGGCCGAAGTGGGTTTCCAGGCTTGTGTGTCTTGACATTTCCATACGCATATCCAGGTTTATATTCCCCAATGATCTTTGGCAGGTGGAGTCCGGATTTCTTGGCGTTCACAGTTTCGATCAGTTTGTTGACCTTTGCTTTTAATTCGGCTGTAGTGTCCTTCGTTACTCTTTGGAACTTAGTTTGGTCAGAGAGTATGATGTTCATTTTCGCCAGATATTCGTCTTTTTTAAGAATTACATATATTGGCGACTTGTCACCTCTTCTGACAACTATCTCCTTGTTCTCACGAAGGCTTTTAGCTGCCGCTTTGAGCTCGGGGGACAGTATGGTGCTTCTGTAATTGCCTCGATTCTTTCCTCCTTCTGCAATAAGTTCTGCTTGTAAGGTATCTTTGGTAGTGACCTTCTTTTGTGTCTCGAGGTCGAATATGTCATCCAACAGAATTTCCAACTCTACTTTCCGGGCCATCTCACTCGGTCAGGACATAACATGACAGTTTATGCCCAGATTTAGGAGAGTGACTTGGTCCTCAGTGAGGTTAATTCCTGCAAGGTTCAGGAAGCCATCTCTTGGTCGTGGAATTGCCATAGGTCCTCCATATAATGTTGTTAGTTTCTTGATAATCCTTGTTTCAGTGCTGAGGTGATGTTGGTCTGTGAGGATGTCGAGGTGTTGTTCAATGCGGGTACGGATACTTTCGTCGATGTTGCTATTTCTCCACTCGTTTGTAGCATGAAGTAGTTGCGTTTTGTTGTCTTTGATTTCATTCTCTGCCTTGTATATCTGATCACGAATCAGATCCTGGCGATATTTTATCGTGAAGGCTTGATTCCTTGCTGCTGGGTCGTGCGCTTTAATATTAGTATATTTTGGTAGCAGTCTTTCCTGTAGACATATATTATTAAATATGACCGAAAAAGTAAGATTAATAATTCTACCACGAATTTTCTCAATCTTTCGTACATTTCTTTTCACTGTTGGAGGTAAATAAAAAATCAATTCTCCAAAATTCATTTTTATTTCTAGTCTGACGCGACACGAGCGCGTTTCGTAAAACTTATTACATTTTCAAAGACTTTTAGTTTACAAATACACAACTGAATAGAACTTACGCATCTCCGATTTTATATCTACATTTGAGTGAGGTGGATGGGGTGAGGATGCATAAGCAACAGGGCTCCATTAAGGAACATATAATCTCTTCCCACAACCAAACCATCGCCAGAGAAATCCTAGTAAACAACACAGAAATCATCGATAGGTACAGCGATAGCAGGCGGCTTGACGTTTGCGAGGCACTACACATCAAGAAGTCAACACCAGCAATCAACAGCCAATTAATGCACAACTATATTCTACCCACCTCAAGACTCCGCTCCAATATAGAAGCATCAAGAAATATGGACCAATAGGCTTTCTACAAACACTTCTATTCAATACCCATTGTTTCGTGTTCTGTCTTGTGTTGATGAAATTAATACCCTATTAATGCCACCTCTTGTTCTGTCTTGTGTTGATGAAATTAATACCCTATTAATGCCACCTCACTCAAATGTAGATATAAAATCGGATCAGTCTTCTATGCTGATCTATGCATCTCAAGTTTCTGACACAAGTTTATCCCCATTTGTATGGTTCACAGGCATCGGAATTGTATCCCATCTGCATCTTTTGTCGTAGTAAACACAGGAAGTTTCCTGATGCTCCTTTCACCTGTTTCTACTATGTCTGTTCCGGTGGTTTAGTCCTTTTTGTCCTGGTTGTTTGTTGTTCATTATCTTATCCCTAATATTGTCGCCTCTTATCGTTTGGCTTTGGCAGAACTGCTATTGTTGTGTTCAGCATTGACATCTCTTCACAAATTGTCTTGGACATCCTTTCACCTCCTGAACCATCTTGGTTTCTTGGTTAATTCCTCCTTTCAGTTTACAATTGCCCCTTTGGTCAGGGATTTCTGTCTTAAGGTGTTGGTTTTCTTAGCCCTCACCTCTTGTCGGGTTATCTTGAGATGATTTCGGGGCTTAGCGTCCCCGCGGCCCGGTCCTCGACCAGGTCTCCTTTTTTTGTTCCACACCCCCCAAGAAGCAGCCCATAGCAGCTATCTACCTCCCAGGTACCTGTTTACTGCTAGGTAACAAGGACATCAGGGTGAAAGAAACATCCTGCCCATTTATCTCCGCCTCCACCGGGGATCGAACCTGGAACCTCAGGTCTATGAATCTGAAGTGCTGTCCACTCAGCTGTCAGGCACCCATGACGGGTTGTGGAGCATCGTGCTCTACTCTGGAGGCGTGGGTTGTCCTTTTGGGCAGTTTCTTCACTTGCAGCCATCTCCTTTTCTGGTGAAGAATGAGATGGTTCACTTCTGAAGAGGCCCTTTGGTGATTGATGCTGGTTTTATCAGGCTGGGGGGGGGGGAATCATTTGTTATATTCCATTATGCAGTTCATTTATACCTACACATCACCTCTGCCTCGGAAGATGCCCTTTTTGTTGACTGGGTGCCCTTGGTTCTTGCTCAGGGGCCTGGTTGTCACAGGTTGTCTGCAGTGCCATTAAATCTAGTCAGCCTGTGGGCTACCCTCAGATCCACGATTTTTTCAGTTTGGCTGCTGTGTTTGCTAATATATCATGGGCTGATATTGGGGTTTGAGGTTTCTGGAGGTCTAATATGGTCCTGGTAGCTTATAGGGAAAATATTCCTATTTCCAATAAGGCTTGTGTTGCACTGAGTCAAGTTTCCCAGTCCCCGTGTCTTGTTTTCATGAATATAACTGTTGCTCTCCTACTCTGATAAGCCTTATGTTTTCCACCTTTTCTATTGTTGGATAGCTGCAGGGAGCCACCAAAAAAGAAGCGTTGATAATGAAATGGCTCTTTCTGGTAAAGCCTCAATGGCTTCTAGATTCCCTCATCCCCTACCAAGTGCACTGGTTTGTGGTTTCCACCTCCGGACTAATTGCTCCGCCCCAGCAATTAGTATCACTTGCTTGGTACTAATGGTGCACTTGCAATTGTACCACTTGCTAACAAGTGGCACTCCTGGGGTGCCACTTGTTAACAACCATTTGCACTAAAAAGTTTGAGCAAATCTGAGTGAATCACTTGGGTTTGAATGAGTCATTTGTGAAATTCTGTCTCTTTTGGCTCTTCATTTTTTTGTGAATCTTGCATTTGTTTGTATGGTTTTGTAGATTTTCTGGAAGCTTTCTCAATGTAGGTGATTATAACGATCCAAGGTTCCCTGTGCCTCTGAGGGGTACAGGTTTTGGTCCCCTATTGGTCAAACAGGACTCCAATGACTGATCTGACTCAGTAGACTGGAAGGCCGTCTCAGTACATTAACTTCAGAGAGCCACCGAGGCTTTATCAGAAAAAGTAAGTAATTATCAAAAAGAAGGCACCAAACCGGGAAGGTTATGTAGCACCATCAAATGTGCGGGAGAATCAGAGGGCGCTAAATATCACCAAGGACGCCAATACGAGAACAGAAACGCATAAGGCGAACGATATCAAAAGTATCCGAGTCACCGAGAATACTATTGAGAGACAAGTGACCGCGAGGGACGGTCGGAAAACAAGACACACGCTCGTCCCGGAAGTCAGGACATTCAACAAGGATATGCATGACCGTAAGAGGGACAATGCAATTAGGACAATAAGGAGCAGGGTGGCGCTCCATCAAGTGACCATGAGTTAAGCGAGTATGGCCAATACGCAACCTCGCCAGAGCCGTTTCCCATCGCCGGTTATGGTGGCAGGAGGACGGCCACGAGGACACACAACCTTTAAGAGAACGTAGTTTGTTACCAGTAACAGACGACCAACAAGCCTGCCAACGGGTAAGGATGGAGGAATGGATAACCGGGTAAAAGTTGGAATAAGGAATACCTTTACGAGAGATGGGACAAGAGTGGACAGCTTCCCTGGCAGCAGCATCCGCACGCTTATTTAAAGACACCCCAATATGGCTGGGAACCCAACAAAACTCAACCAACTTAAATTTACTGTGATTATCAGAAAAAGACATTTCATTACATTCAATGCTGGTTTTACTTCACTGGGAACTTTGCTATCTTACCTATCTCCTAGCACTTGAACAGTGACTATGTGATAACATTTTCTTCAAGTCCCATTCATCAACAAAGAGGATAAAAATAGTCTAATTATAATTTAAAATGTATTATTATTTCTGATATACTGTACCTGTACATTTATAGTTTCATATACTGTACTTACATATATAACATGTAATAACCTCAGTGACCACATGCAGTATCATATATATTCTTCCTCAAATATCTTGAGTGCTTGAAATTATTTATTAAAGATTCATGAGTACACATTAAAAATGTTTGTGAAAGAATGTTACACTGACCTAGCGATCAGAAAAATTAAAGTAATTTCAAATTCACGTTAAAAAAAGGTGCGTGGAAAATTCCTGAGGACAGTTTTGAACAGTAGGAGTTGTAGGGAAGCAATATGAAATGGCAGATACTGCAGGCAAGATGAAGAGTGGGAGAACTTTTGACATATATATGTGTGTGTGACAGCACAAGTGTAGCACACTATTAAGAGATTACTACAGTGTGCTTGGTAAACAATCATCTGTGAGGGGAAGCCGAAGCCATTCTATTGCCGATATAAGTACAGTAACATGTCCATAGGCAACATAGGCCAGATGGGTTACTACTAAAAAAAAATTTGTCACCGTCCATGGAGCTCTCGACATGTGGATTCTAAATGTATTTCTTTTAAACAATCCTTCCCTTCAAAATACAAAATAGTTTACAAATTATAGTCTTACAAAAATAGCCATTGCTTTAAATACAGTATTGAATACCAATTTGAAAATGATAGAATGCATAGTATTTATAATATGCAGTATATTTACAATGCATTAACAGGTCAATGAAGAAAATATATACATATACTATGGTTTAACAATTGCACTTAGTATATCTTTTATACTTTTGTAGTTACTGTTGCTTACACTCCTCTGATGGTCCACTCTTGGGGATCCTTATCACTGGAGCTTCCATTTTTCTCAGCACCTTTGGTTTCTTTTCAACTTTCTTTCCTTCTTCAAATTTCAGTTTGGTTTCTTGAACCTAGAAAAGTTATTAAATATATATTATAAATATATATGTCGTACCTAGTAGCCAGAACGCACTTCTCGGCCTACTATGCAAGGCCCAATTTGCATAATAGGCTGAGTGAATTTCTTTATTGTCAATAAATTGTTTCCAATTAGTTTATTTGATTTATTATTATTATATTATATTACAGCCCGTCCTCCAAAAATGGGGTGGTAAATGTAAGAAGACAAATAAGTGCAATTATGTACTATTCATAGCAGTTAGGAATTGTACTTATTTTCACTCAGTATTAAATCGTACTGTCAGATATATTGTGAATATTTGAGTTTACCTGAAAAACTGAATAGAAAACCACAACCTGACCTAACCCGCTTAGTTTTTGAAGATAATTTTATTGCTTCTTAATTACAATTAATACTTAACCTAAAGCTATATTGATATTACAGTTTTATAAAACTAATAAAACAAAACTAAAATATATCAATAAATTGTAAAGTAACTCAGGATATTTTAAAATATTGTATAAAATCTATATTGTTTAATAAACCTGAAAAAGAAATTCCTGATATTTAAAACTTGTGTATTGCAAATTGAAGTTGAAATCTTCATTCTAAAATTCTGAGTGTCTTAACAGAAAACGAGAAGAATTAAATTGGGGGAGGGAGTTGGGTAAATGTAACAGCCCCATAAGTGCAATTATGCACTGTTTATGACAATTAGAAAGTGTACTTATTACACTTAGTATTAAATCGTACTGTCAATTCGGAGGACGGGTTGCATATTAAGAACATAAATTATTGATGTAGATATGTTAGTTTTGGTTAGGTTAAAATATGTTAGGTTAGGTTAGGTAGGGTAGGTTAGGTTCGGTCATATATCTATGTTAGTTTTAACTCATATTCAATAAAATGAACTTATACACAGTGAAATGGATAGCTTTATCAATTCATAAGAAAAAAAATTGAAAAATATATAAATTCAGAAAAACTTGGCTTATTAGGCAAATCGGTCCTTGCATAGTAGGCCGAGTACTGCGTTCTGGCTTCTAGGTACAACATACACATATATATATATATATATATATATATATATATATATATATATATATATATATATATATATATATATATATATATATATATATATGTCGTACCTAGTAGCCAGAACTCACTTTTTGGCCTACTATTCGAGGCCCGATTTGCCTAATAAGCCAAGTTTTCCTGAATTTATATATTTTTTCTAATTTTTTTCTTATGAAATGATAAAGCTACCCATTTCATTATGTATGAGGTCATTTTGTTTTATTGGAGTTAAAATTAACGTAGATATATGACCGAACCTAACCAACCCTACCTAACCTAACCTAACCTATCTTTATAGGTTAGGTTTGGTTAGGTAGTCGAAAAAGTCAGGTTAGGTTAGGTTAGGTAGGTTAGGTAGTCGAAAAACAATTAATTCATGAAAACTTGGCTTATTAGGCAAATCGGGCCTTGCATAGTAGGCTGAGAAGTGCGTTCTGGCTACTAGGTACGACATATATATATATATATATATATATATATATATATATATATATATATGTACTGTATATACTGTATATATATTTGTTTTGGGTGAGGTGACACAAAGGTTTTGAGTGAGGTGGGTACATGAGAATGGAAGTAACTGCAGAGGGCCTATTGGCCCATACGATGCCTTGAAGTGGGGAGAATATAGTTGTGTATTAATTGGCTGTTGATTGCTACACATCAAAAAGTCAACACCAGCAATCAACAGCCAATTAATGCACAACTATATTCTACCCACTTCAAGGTACCGTATGGGCCAATAGGCCCTCTGCAGTTACTTCCATTCTCATGGGAATGCATGGGGGAATTATGTAAAATCCTGGTTTGTGTCTCGGAGAGGCTGCAGGACCCAAGTAAATTCAGTAGAATTTCTGGTTGCAATTCTTATACCATGTCGTAGTTCAGTCGAATAAGGCGGCGTCAGGGATGCTCTTGGACGCAGGTTCAAATCCTCGTCATAGCCCTTGTGGATTTGTTCATATTATTGATGTTATGTTATGCTACTCTGGTCATTACCCACTTTGATAGTGTTGTATGGTTTAAGTCCAGAGAGGATTGTATGGACTGAGGGTTAAGGGATAACGTCCAAGTGTATGCCTCCTTCACAGGAGGCCTGCTACTAGGTGTATTGGTAACCCTATGTAATTTATACTCCTGCTTATGTGGTGTATTGAAAGTAGAGTAAATGTCAGATAAGAATAGCAAATGTTCTGTTATAGCAGTGGTCATTGATTAGTAAAATGTTATATTTATTAATCCTCTTTCTGTGCAGGGGGGGCTTCATAGACTGTACTTTCAGACATTTCATATTGGAATTATGTTACCTGGGGGAAAGGCCTAACATAGCTCAACCTGGGGCTTGCCTCTTGAAGTTACTTATTAATGGGGCAGCCCAATAGCATCATAAGACCAGGATGTTATGCAGTGGGTGATACTCCATTAAAGACTCAGTTGTAACAAGTAGTTAGATTTTGTAGTGACTTAGTGACTGTGCAAAACGAAGCCTGTATAAATGACTAAATATTATTAAATAACAGAACTTACTTCACCGTCACAATCTTGGATAGAAGCAGTTTCAGTCATGCGAACACATTTCTTCCGTTTTTTCTGAAGCTCCACGGCACACGACAGAACATTTTCTTGATTTTCCGCAGTTGGGCTTTTACTGTTATCCACACCATTTCCAACACTGGTACTTGAGATGGCTGAAAAGGTACAATGCCCAGGTCACTTCATGCAAACATTTTAAAAGTCAATTTTTGCAATAAAGGTTACCAGAATAACTATTAAAGTTGCAAAGTTTTTAATTGTTAACACCATAACATAAGCAGATGTAAATTTTTAAGTAACCCTTGGGGCTGAGGAACAGTTTCATGCCAATTTGAAAGAAGTAATTTGGTCAGGGGATTAATTATCGTTACCACATTTCCCACTTTCGTGTTGTGGAGGAAAAGGGACTCAATAGTGGAAACAAATCTATGGATATTCTAAAATTACATTAAATCTTTCACCATATCTTACACTACATACATAAATAAGTACACCACACTCCAGCATTGCACTGCTTCAAAATACATGTGCAGTGCTCCTCGTGGGTTGCTACATAAAAATCAGACTTGCACCATCTTCACACAAATTACTGCCACGTTGCCAAGCATCTAACGTCTTCCCTAAAGAGCTCCCTATTTTTTAATTTATTCCTTTGTAACTGATCATTAATTTTTTGTTATAATCTTCTCACACCTTTCTCCTATTTTCTGCCTCTGTCTCTCACGTTAATTGTATGCCTGTACTTACAAATCCACTTTGGTTTTGTTCCTTTTTAACTGCTCTTTCCATCCCCCTCATCCTACACAAATGTGTATGACTTAACACACACACATACAAGGTGTTTTTAACTAAATATTCCCTGTATCCATCCCATGTGTAACCGCAGATCATTTGTTCATACGGAAGCAATTATTACAACCCATTACAAAAGTTGTTCAGTACAGCAACATAAGTTACAGTACCTGCTACACACTTACATAATTTTTCAACTGGTTTGTCAACTTCTTTCATGGTGTTTGGGTCCAACAATTTCTCTTTTAGAGGAACAATCTCTTCAGGGACTATAACTTGAGACTTTGTGGTATGGGATACAAGTTTCTCGAAGTCAGGAATTTTCTCAACATACACTTTCTGTTCTTTTATACTAGGATCTGAAAATATAGCTATATTGAAATAAATTAAAAGAAAATCTTTGATCTGAAATTGTAAGTTAACATATTTGCCACAAAATATTTAGAATAATTTTACATTTATTCAACTGTGTATTGCATATATATATGTTTGCAAATGATTGCGCTGTTGTATGGTAAAAAGTAAAATGTTGAGGGAACTAAACAATTCTTTCTGAAATCCCAGGGAGGTTTTCCCAGGCCAGGAGCCAAATGGTTCCCACAGGACTCATTTCCCTTACTAAGCTCTAAAACTTGTATCTTCACATTTTAAAGACTCCACACTCCACACTGTGGATTCTAATCTACATTAGAATTTGTCATGAGACAAATTCTAATGATTTTGTTTTATGTGAACTTTTGTAGAGGCTTCTCATAAAACCACCTTAAATTTCTAGTGATAAAGGGAAATTTGAATCATTACAGAAAAAGGCAAAAAGTACAAAACCAAACTATATACAGTATAATGTAGCCTTGGAAGACAGAATCTACTGCCATTTGTGTGCTGATTGGGGGAAAACTTTTTTTTTTTTTAGGTTAGGTGACTAAATCACACGTCGGAAAATGAAGAAACAACAATGTCTTGGTCTGTCCAGCACCATTATCAAGTTGTGTGATAGAAGTGAGGAAGGGACAGACAAATAAATAAGGTAAGAGAGTGAGATGAGAGGCGAGGAGAAAAATTAAGACTAAGAAAAAGAAATGAGAAAATCCATAGGTGTCATGATGAGGGTTCGAACCTATATGATGAGTGCTCCCACACATACGCTCTAGCGACTAGACCATTGTATAAGGATGGCAACCTGGAGTTCTACTGAACACACAAGGATTTCCCGAGGCTTCTACTGACACCGGTCGTGGTCTAGTCGCTAGAGCGTGTGCGTGGGAACACCAACCACATAGGTTTGAACCCTCATCACGGCTCTTACGAATTTTCTCATTGATGCAATCATGCTAGTGTGACTACTCTGTGTATTGAAAGAGGAGCATCAGAGGTAGAATATTTCTAGATGAAAGAGCCAAAGTTCATAGCAGGATTGTATAAAATGTATCTTCGACTTCAGTAGAAACCTCAGAAAATCCTTGTGTTCAGTAGAACTCCAGGGTCTACTGATGCAGTCACGTTAGCGTGATTACTCTGTGTATAAAAACAGGATGAAGATTAGGTTAGGTTTTCTTGTATTGCCTGGCATGATGGGGCTGCAATACTTCTGTGGAACTACAGTTTCACAAATTATTTACTCACACATCTTTTCGCCTTTCTTTGATGCCATTTCTTCCAGTCTGACCCTCAGCCTTATTGCTTCAGCCCGGGATGCATCGTGATTGACTTCAGCCTGCCGAAGCTTTCGCTGCAACTGCAGTACACGGTCACTCAACACTACCTTGTCAAATTCTGCTGTGCGCAACTTTTGACCAATCTCGGCAATTTTTGTTCTATAAGAAAATAACATATATATATTTATTTTTTAAATATATTAGATTTTCAAGCATTACTTTATTTAGTACACAAATATCAAGAAAAAAATTGACCACTGCATCACTGAAACGATCAATGATGCGGTGGTCATAGTACTGTGTATGTTTCAGGGTGATCCTAGATGTCATGGGTTCAAATCCTGGATGGGTCATTTAGTTTATATTTATATTTATATATATATATATATATATATATATATATATATATATATATATATATATATATATATATATATATATATATACATCTTCAGAAGGAGACTCCTTCTGAAGATGTATTAATATACGAAAGTACTTAAGGAAATTCCTGTTTCAATTTTTCTCCGTGGCCTGACACTGTCATATTTTTAATCACGTGTTTATTTTCATGATATATATACACACACACATACACACACACACACACATATATATATATATGTCGTACCTAATAGCCAGAACGCACTTCTCAGCCTACTATTCAAGGCCCGATTTGCCTAATAAGCCAAGTTTTCATGAATTAATGTTTTTTCGTCTACCTAACCTAACCTAACCTAGCTTTTTTTGGCTACCTAACCTAACCTTACCTATAAATATAGGTTAGGTTAGGTTAGGTAGGGTTGGTTTGGTTAGGTTCGGTCATATATCTACGTTAATTTTAACTCCAATAAAAAAAAATTGACCTCATGCATAGAGAAAAGGGTTGCTTTATCATTTCATAAGAAAAAAATTATAGTAAATATATTAATTCAGGAAAACTTGGCTTATTAGGTAAATCGGGCCTTGAATAGTAGGCTGAGAAGTGAGTTCTGGCTACTAGGTACGACATATATATATATATATATATATATATATATATTATTAAATATGACCGAAAAAGTAAGATTAATAATTCTAACACGAATTTTCTCAATCTTTCGTACATTTCGTTTCACTGTTGGAGGTAAATCAAAAATCAATTCTCCAAAATTCATTTTTATTTCTAGTCTGACGCGACACGAGCGCGTTTCGTAAAACTTATTACATTTTCAAAGACTTTAGTTCACAAATACACAACTGAATAGAACTTACGCATCTCCAATTTTACATCTACATTTGAGTGAGGTGGAAGGGGTGATGTGGCATTAACACAAGACAGAACAAGATGTGGTATTAATAGGGTATTAATTTCATCAACACAAGACAGAACAAGAGTATTAATAGGGTATTAATTTCATCAACACAAGACAGAACACGAAACAATGGATATTGAATAGAAGTGTTTGTAGAAAGCATATTGGTCCATATTTCTTGATGCTTCTATATTGGAGCGGAGTCTTGAGGTGGGTAGAATATAGAGGAGTACATATAGGGTACAAGAGGAGTGTTGTTAACGCATATGTCGACCGTGCTCTCAGCCACAGCTCAGAATGGAAGCAAGCCGACGAAGAACTCTGTAGGGTAAGGCAGGTCCTAGTCAATAACGGCTTCTCCAATGGTTTCGTCGAAGACATCATAAGAAGGAAAGTGAAAAGCCATGCAACCTCTGAAGAGACAACTAACACAACACCTATACCCCCTATTAGACTATTTTACAGGAACTTCTTTTCCACAGCTCATAAAACGGAGGAAAGGGTCCTGAAAGATATTGTTAATAGAAACGTTATCCCTACAGACAAAAATCAGAGGATACAACTGACGATTTACTATAAAACCAGAAAAACGGCCAGCCTACTCATGAGAAACTCTCCAGACACAAAACAGAACGCTTTAAAAGAGACTAACGTCGTCTATGCCTTCAAATGCCCTCTTGGGGACTGTAAGCTCCAAAAAACCCAGTATATAAAAAACCCAGTATACAACAACATCTCTTTCTAGGCGTTTAACGATGCATAAGCAACAGGGCTCCATTAAGGAACATATAATCTCTTCCCACAACCAAACCATCGCCAGAGAAATCCTAGTAAACAACACAGAAATCATCGATAGATACAGCGATAGCAGGCGGCTTGACGTTTGCGAGGCACTACACATCAAGAAGTCAACACCAGCAATCAACAGCCAATTATTGCACAACTATATTCTACCCACCTCAAGACTCCGCTCCAATATAGAAGCAACAAGAAATATGGACCAATAGGCTTTCTACAAACACTTCTATTCAATATCCATTGTTTCGTGTTCTGTCTTGTGTTGATGAAATTAATACCCTATTAATACTCTTGTTCTGTCTTGTGTTGATGAAATTAATACCCTATTAATACCACATCTTGTTCTGTCTTGTGTTAATGCTACATCACCCCTTCCACCTCACTCAAATGTAGATATAAAATCGGAGATGCGTAAGTTCTATTCAGTTGTGTATTTGTGAACTAAAGTCTTTGAAAATGTAATAAGTTTTACGAAACGCGCTCGTGTCGCGTCAGACTAGAAATAAAAATGAATTTTGGAGAATTGATTTTTTATTTACCTCCAACAGTGAAACGAAATGTACGAAAGATTGAGAAAATTCGTGTTAGAATTATTAATCTTACTTTTTCGGTCATATTTAATAATATATGTCTACAGGAAAGACTGCTACCAAAATATACTAATATATATATATATATATATATATATATATATATATATATATATATATATATATATATATATATATATATATGTATATATGTTGTACCTAGTAGACAGAACGTCGTAATTCGCTTACTATGCAAGGCCCGATTTGCCTAATAAGCCAATTTTCCTAAATTTATATAATTTTCTAAATTTTTCTTATGAAATGATAAATCTGTCCATTTCATTATGTATAAGTTAATTTGTTTAAATTTGAGTTAAAACTAACGAAGATATATGACCGAACCTAACCAACTCCACCTAACCTATCCTAACTTAAACTATCACAACTAAGTCAATAAATTATGGTCTTAATATAATATAATAATAATTTAAATACACTAAATGGAAACAATTTATTGAAAATAAAGAAAATCACTCAGCCTATTAGGCAAATCAGGCCTTGCATAGTAGGCCGAGAAGTGCGTTCTGGCTACTAGGTACGATGTATATGTGTGTGTGTGTGTGTTTACTAGTTGTGTTTTTACGGGGGTTGAGCTCTGCTCTTTCGGCCCGCCTCTCAACTGTTTACTAACTACTATTTATTTATTTTTTTTTTTTTCCCACACCACACACACACACCCCCCAGGAAGCAGCCCGTGACAGCTGATTAACTCCCAGGTACCTATTTACTGCTAGGTAACAGGGGCATTCAGGGTGAGAGAAACTTTGCCCATTTGTTTCTGCCTCGTGCGGGAATCGAACCCGCGCCACAGAATTACGAATCCTGCGCGCTATCCACCAGGCTACGAGGCCCCACAATTACCTTGTGTGTGTAATTACCTAAGTGTAATTACCTAAGTGTAGTTACAGGATGAGAGCTACGCTCATGGTGTCCCGTCTTCCCAGCACTCTTTGTCATATAACGCTTTGAAACTACTGACGGTCTTGGCCTCCACCACCTTCTCACTTAACTTGTTCCAACCGTCTACCACTCTATTTGCGAAGGTGAATTTTATTATATTTCTTCGGCATCTGTGTTTAGCTAGTTTAAATCTATGACCTCTTGTTCTTGAAGTGCCAGGTCTCAGGAAATCTTCCCTGTCGATTTTATCAATTCCTGTTACTATTTTGTATGTAGTGATCATATCACCTCTTTTTCTTGTCTTCTAGTTTTGGCATGTTAAATGCTTCCAACCTCTCCTCGTAGCTCTTGCCCTTCAGTTCTGGGAGCCACTTCGTAGCATGTCTTTGAACCTTTTCCAGTTTGTTGATGTGCTTCTTAAGATATGGGCACCACACAACAACTGCATATTCTAGCTTTGGCCTAACAAAAGTCATGAACAATTTCTTTAGTATATCGCCATCCATGTATTTAAATGCAATTCTGAAGTTAGAAAGCATCGCATAGGCTCCTTGCACAATATTCTTTATGTGGTCCTCAGGTGGTAGTTTTCTATCTAGAACCACCCCTAGATCTCTTTCTTTATCAGAATTCTTTAAAGATTTCTCACATAATATATAGGTTGTATGGGGTCTATGTTCTCCTATTCCACATTCCATAACATGACATTTATTAACATTAAATTCCATTTGCCAGGTGGTGCTCCATATACTTATTTTGTCCAGGTCTTCTTGAAGTGCATGACAATCATCTAAATTTCTTATCCTTCCTATTATCTTAGCATCATCAGCAAACATGTTCATATAATTCTGTATACCAACTGGTAGATCATTTATGTACACAATAAACATCACTGGTGCAAGAACTGAACCCTGTGGTACTCCACTTGTGACATTTCTCCATTCCGATACATTGCCTCTGATTACTGCCCTCATTTTTCTATCAGTCAGAAAATTTTTCATCCATGATAGAAGCTTACCTGTCACCCCTCCAATATTTTCCAGTTTCCAGAACAACCTCTTATGTGGAACTCTGTCGAAAGCCTTTTTTAGGTCCAGATAGATGCAGTCAACCCAACCATCTCTTTCCTGTAATATCTCTGTGGCTCGATCATAGAAACTGAGTAAATTCGATACACAGGATCTTCCAGATCGAAAACCATACTGTCTGTCTGATATTATATCATTTCTCTCCAGGTGTTCTACCCATTTAGTTTTGATTAGCTTTTCCAATACTTTCACTATTACACTTGTCAATGATACAGGTCTATAATTGAGGGGGTCTTCCCTGCTGCCACTTTTGTAGATTGCAACTATGTTAGCCTGTTTCCACACGTCTGCTACGATTCCTGTACACAGGGATGCCTGAAAGATCAGGTGAAGTGGAATGCTGAGCTCAGATGCACATTCTCTCAGAACCCATGGTGAAATGCCATCTGGGCCAGCTGCTTTGTTCTTCCCGAGCTCCTTTAGCATATTTTCCACTTCATCTCTAGACACCTCTATCCGCTCTATGTTGTTCTCTATGTTCTCTATGTTGTGTGTGTGTGTGTGTGTGTGTGTGTGTGTGTGTGTGTGTGTGTGTGTGTGTGTGTGTGTGTGTGTGTGTGTGTATATATATATATATATATATATATATATATATATATATATATATATATATATATATATATATTGGTGTATACTGGCAGCAGGTTTTCTTTCAAACATGTTTCATTGAATATGACCGCATATTCTGTATTTATTATTTTCTGGTTTAGGGCTTCTATCCCTCTAACTATTTTCTTAGCATCATTTCTATTTTCAATTAAGCCCTGATGCTAAGAAAATAGTTAGAGGGATAGAAGCCCTAAACCAGAAAATAATAAATACAGAATATGCGGTCATATTCAATGAAACATATATATATATATATATATATATATATATATATATATATATATATATATATATATATATATATATAGTATATTTATATACTATATATATATATAGTATATAAAGTATATATATATAGTATATATATAGTATAGTATATATATAGTATATAGTATATACTATAGTATATACTATAGTATATATATAGTATATAGTATATTTATATACTATATATATATATATATATCTATACTATATATAGTATATTTTTTGTTAGGTCTTTCTTGCATTCTTAACATATATTGTTGAATATGACAGATGGGTAAGATTAATGATTCTAATACAAATCTTTTCAATATTTCTTATGTTTTTCTTCACTGTCAGGGGAGGTTGAAAAATTAACAAGTTCATTTTCATATTTTTATTTTTGGTCTGAAGCCTAGGGATGCGTTTCGCAAGGCCACTCCTTACATTCTCAGACTAATTTATCATGCTTATATTCTCTTTGGGTAAGGTGGTACAGAACAAGTGGATGAATGGCATAACATAGGGGATATTGATAGGGTATTACACTCATCAACATAAGCAGGCTATGTACTTGCAGCTACTTGTGTTTCTAAGGCAGGGTTATTGGATCCTGTCTCCGCGTTAGTTCGGAGTCTTGAAGTGGGCAGGATGTAATTATGTGTTAACTGGTTGTTGATTGCTGGTCTTGACTTTTTGATGTGTACTGCCTCACTGATATGTATATATGTATATGTATGTAAGTATGTGTATATATATATATATATATATATATATATATATATATATATATATATATATATATATATATATATATATATATATATAATTTGTTAATTTGATTATTTGATTATTATGTATATATATGTATATATATATATATATATATATATATATGTATATATATATATATATATATATATATATATATATATATATATACATATATATATATATATATATATATCCTGTGGTCCAGGGATTGATTTCTGGCACCGGCAAGAAACAATGGGCAGAGTTTCTTGCACCCTGATGCCCCTGTTACCTAGCAGTAAACAGGTACCTGCGAGTTAGGCAGCTGCTATGGGCTGCTTCTTGGTGGTGGTGGTGGTGGTGGGGGGGGGGGAATAGTTAATAAGAGTTGATTGATAGTTGAGAGGCAGGCCGAAAGAGCAGTGCTCATCCACGCAAGCACAACTAGATGAACAGTAGGTGAATACATAACTCCATTGCTACCATTTGATCTTATACAGTAGTATAAGCTTTCTATACTTCTAAATATTTTCTTACTCTCAGGATTAAGAAGAGCAATCAAGTTACCAAAATTCATAGTTAGGAAACTAATGGTTATTGAAGGGTATATTTTCTACAACTATTCGTTCTACTCTGGAACATCTTCGGGTAAGGAATGAATATAAAAGGTGCAAATTTATCTTAAATACACACATGTGAAAGAGATGAAGTTATGTGAGGGGTAAGGTGAAGTAATCACAAATAAGTGCAAAAATAGGAAAATAATGGGGATGGATGCCAATTAAACACTGGGGAAGGCGATGGGTGGGGAGAACTCGGTAGGGATGTCACTTTACAGTGCTGTATAGTGAGGTCTGGATCCGAGATATCCAGGTATTGAAGTCGTTTCTCTATATATTTAGGGTGGGTCTTCTTTCTTTCATGAGAATAGCTTCCAGTATTTGCAAAAGTCTCTGGTCAGTGGTGGACTGTAGGATTGTTGTATTTTCTACTCGCATGTTCCTAGTGAGTGTTGTGTTATGTATACTTTGCATATAGTTTCTAGGGTCACCAGCTTATAGATGCAGGTCATTCTATTTGAAAGCGTTGTGGTGGTCATGCCAATATAAGTACAGTAGATCGAAGGTGACATCTTTCACTGGGGCATGTAAATTGGAATACCACATTTGCTTTTTGGAGAGGGTTGTATGGTTTATTGGGGCTGTCTTAATTAACACTTTTGTGCCCTGATGACTCCCTTGGTGTTGTAGCAAGTAAGCTTATACTCGCTCCATTATCTCATTATCATAATAGCATAACTAATTAGCACTAATTACAGAAGCTACAATTCTTTCCCCAATTACAGGTAATACTCTTCTCATCTTGTTGGAGGGAGCTGAGGTGTAATCACCAGATAAACAAACAGTACAATTTCCACAGTCAACAATGTAGCACTCGGCGTGTACAGTTCTAATTGACCCAAGACGCTACAGCTTCGACACAGAGCAGACAGCAGACTACGACCGCATCGAGCCGCCACGCTCTTGTTCCCCGAGTTCAGACACTCACAATTCACAAGAGAGCCGCCATGCTCTCCCACATAGAGCTCCACGACTCCGGCCTCACTCAGCTCTTTGCTCTGCTCCAGGCTTCGTCTCAACGTCTACGACACTGCTGTACCCAGGACTACTAAATAAATATGAAACTCACTAAACACTGTACTGTATATCTAATCTACCCAACAACGTAACACAATTGTACGTTACAGTGTCATTAAAACAATACATGCAGTGCGTGATGATGCAGTGTCATGCATGAATTTTTGCTTAGTCTTATTATTAAATATAAACATTGCAAGTGAAAGGGTTTGACACTGGGTTGTATGCTCACCGGCAATGCTCAGCCTGCCTTCCAGTGCGATGCGGGTGGCCCGCCGAGAATAATGAATTCCAATCTTTGGTCTGTAGTGGTCAGTTTCACTCCATTTAAAATTATATTAATTATTCTTTCTTCAGTGTTTAATTGTGAGCTCATAGTGGATTTGTAATAATAGTTTTTTATGGAAGGGGTTGTTTGCTCTTGCGGTTGTTGTTGTTATACCACTTTCCTAAATATCTCCTAATATGGGTTTTGAAAAAATTGAGAAATGATGTTTTGGTCCATCCTGGACCATAATTAACTCTGCTGCAAAACTTTCTAATGTTAGAATTAAAAATTTATTCATAACTTATACAAATTGTTACAATTGTGGCTGGATTAAACACTTGCAATCAATGTAAATCAAACTTGTTGACCAGACCACACATTAGAAGATGAAGGGACGACGACGTTTCGGTCCGTCCTGGACTATTCTCAAGTCGATTGTCCTGGACCATTCGCAATCGACTTGAGAATGGTCCAGGATGGACCGAAACGGCCTTCATCTTCTAATGTGTAGTCTGGTCAACATACTTTAGCCACGTTATTGTGACTCATCGCCTGCGTAAATCAAACTTGGGTATTTAAGTGAACAACATTTAGCTAACAATCTGAATGGTGATAACAATGTGTGGTTATCCAGTAGGACAGTGAGACAAATATTAGCAAAACTTACATCAATAGTAGGATGATGAGAAGACAATTTGAAGTAGAAGTAATATAAATCCTGGTGGCAACCTTGAGAACTAAGCATAGCTCCTGCCATCATGGAATCTTCAGAAACTGTTTGTGTAGCTACACAAAACATTGTTCAAACTCTCCCACCTCTCAAAAATTGATATAACCATTCATAAATTACTACCATAGTCAACATGGTAGTAATTGTCCTCCAAACAGCAAGTCACAATGTGGTTGAAAATTAGACACCCAACTCACATGTCACCTTTTTTCTTTATTTTTATTTTTTATTTCGCTATTTATTTTTAGACGTGTGGGTTGGGTATCTTAATATTTAATCTAGATGTTGCAATGAAGTTGCAACTGAAAACTTCAGTTCTCCAGTCCCATAATACTCCAACAATGTTACATAACATTACAGTAAAGTCTTGTATGTGCTGAAAGAGACCTTCATTGTACTTACTACAATATAGAGAACTATGTGGCATTCCTAAGAGCAGAACCTAATTAGTCACCTTGAAAGAATTATTATAAATACTATGGTAAAATTCTTTACTTACTGACTTTCAGAATATAAACCTTGAAACAAACTGTTCCTATCTTCTCCATCTTTCCCTATATATATCTGAAATAAAGGTAATTGTGTTAATCGCATGCTGGTATAAATTAATTTGATAATTGTACATTTTCCCTACACCTGTACTGTATGATAGTAAATAATAACAATAATAAATATAATGCTCATTAACAAAATTATATACAATGGACATACTGCAGAGTTTACAATATTACAACAACTAATAATACATCAAATATTTTGGCTAAATTAACATCCACAACTTTAAGGCAAGATTTGACAAAGAATTTGAAACTCAGATTTGAAACTTTTGAAAATTTGTATTTGAAAAAATACAACAGGTACAAAACTATTAGGTGGGGAAGGTGGTGATAGACCTCACCGCCGTAGGCACCAATAGGTGTCCCATCACCAACACATCATATTTGAAGATAAATTCATGTTTCTACCTAAGAATTGTGAGAATACCTACAAATAAATACATTTTATATTGATATTTAATACTATAGGTTTTACTTGAATTTTTAGGGTAAATATTGGTTTTATCAGTGAGAATTCTTATTATACTTTGAGTATGATAAGAATAATTAGTTATGGCAGATACAGTAATTGTTCTTTGTGTCAGGATTAATATTACAGATTCAAGTTTTGAAGAAATTGAGCATGCATGAGCACGCAAGTAGAGCTTTTATATGTAGCATGTTTAATGAGTTCAATAAGGATGCTGCATGCTGTCTGAATGTTCGAGTTTGTTATTGTTTTAACTGTTGACTTTTGTTGAGTACTTATTGGTCTGAGGCAATTTTTGGGTCGTAGAATTCCTGGCACAGACACCTTAAGTGAAAGTTGGATAGATAAGATACAAATATAATAAGTAGAGATGTACCAGCATATTGGGATCGGTTTATGTGGTATTAGCCTATTTTTACAGTGCTGTTATCTTGAGATGATTTCGGGGCTTTAGTGTCCCCGCGGCCCGGTCCTCGACCAGGCCTCCACCCCCAGGAAGCAGCCCGTGACAGCTGACTAACACCCAGGTACCTATTTTACTGCTAGGTAACAGGGGCATAGGGTGAAAGAAACTCTGCCCATTGTTTCTCGCTGGCGCCTGGGATCGACCCCAGGACCACAGGATCACAAGTCCAGCGTGCTGTCCGCTCGGCCGACCGGCTCCCGCTGTATTTCAATGGATACCTCTTCAAACCTAATTTTTGTTTACACAGATGGGTAAAAAACGGAATGACTTCTGATTCATATCAGCAGGCTTAGAGTGCTCTTGCCCACAGTATATCTTGAGCCTTACCCTATCAATTTTCACTGGAGCACAATCTGCCAATTATCTAGCAACCAAGCTTCAATTACTCCTGAGTGAACAGTTAAGGAACAGTTAAGGAATAGTGACCAATTGTCAACCACTTCTTGGAGGGATGAGTTATGAGGAGAGACTAAAGGAATTACACTTCACGTCACTTGAAGACAGACGTTTGGGAAGACATGACTATAACATATAATTATCAAGAGAAGATGACAGGGAAGACGAGAACAAATTACTGTGCTGTATTAGGAATGGGAGATGCTCAAGCAAGAAGACACAGGTGGAAACTAAGTACCCAAATAAGCTACAAAGACATTAGAAAGAACCTTTTAGTGTCATTTTGTAGTGCCAAATGCACTATAAAATGAAATGTTGGAGGCAGACTTCATACAGAGACAGAAATGTTGATAGGTCAGAGCCCAATAGGCTCAGGAACCTGTAAACCAGTTGAATAACACTTGCACTGCTGTACCTGCTATCTGCAATTATCCCCTGTGCTCCAACTGCTATTTGATTTAAATATTTTTTAGTCATGCACACCCTGATATAGTACTTTTAAAGAGTTGCACAGTTTAGAGGTTAAAGGGTAAGTGGAAAAGGCAAAGAGTCAACCCTCAAACCCAGCAAGCACGATCAAGTAATTACTCCTAACTTAACCAATCCTAACATACCCCTCCCACACACACACAAACCTATCCTAGCACCTACCCATTTCTGCTCCACCTACCACCCTCTTCTGCCCTCTACCCATCTACTGCTTCACTCAGTTATGCTAGTGGGGGGTTGAACTTTAGCATTTTGGTATCTCCCCTCAGCCTAAGTTGTAAGTAGAATATCTTAAATGTGTTATAACATATTTTCTACTGTAAAGGGATATTTCCAATTCTTTTAAAACACAAACATAATTCTATTCCGTTTCTAACTGAACATAGTGGGGATGTAAGGTATCTTAACCAAAACCTCTCCAAGACTGAAGGAAAGGAAATTATGAGAAAGCGATTGTATAGCTCTCCAAGACTGAGAGTTTATGCAAAAGAACCATTTTTTTATTTATTAAAAGCTACCAATCAGTAATCACTGGTGACCTGCAGCAAAAGGAGTACATTTAACATAGTTTCACTTAATGGGTTTTGCAGGACTAGTTCTCTAAAAAGGCCTAACATCTTACAATATTACATATCGATATCAGAGTATCAGTACTTTTATATTATCAAAATATCAGTACTGTATAGGTAATTGGTCAAAATATTGATATCAGTATACCTTTATTAATAACTGAAGGTAATAAGTATTAATAAGTGGAGGTATATAATAGTGGATTTTAGAAGGTATGTACAGTATGTCTAATATTTTATATTTTTTTATTTTGTATATGGCAAGTGATGTTCCATTTGTATGTTTTGACCTGTGTACACAGAGTAATAATAGTTTTCAACCATTTAATAAAACAGATCTCTGATTATCAGTTTAAGTTCTCTTGTTGGCACTATTGCCTTTCTTGGTTTCTCTACCCTACTGCCTAAGGAACTGTTGAAGAAACAATCCTTATTTTTAAGTACCGTGAACAGAATTACAACACAAGTCGAGGTCCCACAACTATTCAATGATTTCTAAATTATTAAAAAACTTGCCCAAAATCAACAGAAATCTCCTTTGTATCACTGTACAAAGTCTTTGAAAGTTTCAAGCTGATACGCAAAGGCAGTCTTCAGATATCTCAGGGATCGCAAATGAAAAACAATTCAGTTAAACTCTAATAAATAGAAGATTAATAATTAACCTAATATAACCAAACTTTTGTCTCTGTTGAGCCTGCGAAGTGACCATGCTGATAGCTGTTCCCAACAAATCAAAAGGCTAGCAAGTATGAGAGGTTTAATGCCCATTTGAAAACCATGCATGTATATTTCTCAGATTTTATGAAGAGTAATGATTCGGGCAAAATTAATTCATGATCTGTTACAGGCCTTGATGCAACCAATCTCCAAAACTGTACAAGACAAATGAGTTAACATGCGATATTTGCCCACCTGAGAACTAGAAGTGGTATCCTGTTGAGATTCTAGCTCCTGACACCTCTTTGCAAACTTCTCTAGTTGGGTTCTTGCACTTGCCAGTGATTCCTCGAGACGAGTGAGGTAATCCCCATCCGATTTAACGCTGCTCAAACTTAGTAATGAAGCCAACTGCAGCTGAAAAGATAAGAAATATTCTATATCAATATTACTGTATAGATGACAATGCTATTATACCAAAATATCTATTAATATTGATCTATGATTAGGTACCAGTAGGCTTTGGTCACCCATGGAAGCAAATATGAGGGTACTCCTCCTCCTATTCATATTCTTTCCTGTGACTACTACACTGTACTCGAGAAACCCAGAAAAAATTACACTATATGAAGTAAAACCAGGCATTAAGTGTACTGTACATGAAAAGCTTCTTTCTGAACAGGCTACATGATTTCTTCATACAACAAGATCTTACTTGCATTATAGATAGAATCTGAAGCAGTTACAAGTCAATATTTTTCATTTATTGCAGCTGGAATTTTTCCAAAGATCTCTGTTGGGTCAAACATGTGCTAGGGAAATTGGAGGAAGTTCAGTTCAGCTAGATTTGACCCATATTCAGGTGAACTTGAAGCTCTACCAAGCACTGTTTGGCATTACTGGGACTGTCATGCAGCACACCAATTACAGTACTATTTGATCCACCAGGTCTCTACTCTTACCCCAGATGTCAGTACCTAAACAACAACAGGGTTACCTGACTTCAGATTTCTCTTATTTTAAGTGACCCAAGACAAAAGCCTTTATTACAGGGAAGGCATGGAGAGAAGAAAGAGAATGGGAGCAACAGTGTTCGGTTCAGAAAGGAACATTTCACGTACTGTAATGTGCAGTACACTCAAGGCCTGATCTCACTAGGTTGGTCCCCCAAAGCAAGTGTTTATGAAAGATCTGTGGAGTCTGTTTTGTTATGCCCATCTTTCTGGGTGCCTAACCCCAGTCGATAGCAGATAAGGAAAACCCCCAACCACGGGGTTTTTTCCAGGGGCCATTGCCCCCTATGCCTCTCTGAGGGGGGCCCAGGTTCTGGCTTGTGGTCCCCGGTAGACTGAACTCCATTGACTAATGCCCTGGTCTGATGTATCGCATATTAGCCTGATAGCTGCAGGGAGCCGAAGGGGTTCCCCACAGAAAAGGGGGGTCAACGGGGCAAAGATCAGAGCAATACAAGCTTTAAAGAAATATGGCATTAAAACAAACATTTTTGTGAGAGGAGAAAATATGTGCAACAGCAGTTACAAATGTTCCTAAATACCTGTACAACAAAACTCTATGGTTGATCACTCTACATTTTAAAGAATATTAAGCTCATTGCTATGAAAGCTTAAACAAAAACTGAAAACTTACATACCTTCATTTTATTAATCTGTTGACTTTTCAGTTCATTCTGCTTCTTAGCTATTGTGTAGTTAGTTTTGTAACTGAGTAACTGCTTCTCCATAGCCTGTCTGTGGTCCTCAACTTCAGCAAAGAGAGAGTTTCCTTTTCTGGCTGGGTCAGTCTCTGCCAATCTCAGGCTATCAATTTCCATTCTAAGCTCCTGCATGTCGGTTTTATTTTGCTGAAAAATTACAAATGTATTTAATCACAATGCATCTTTAAATTACTGTATATGTGAGATGAGGTACCTGGCTGTGCCCAGGTCAACTCCAAGTAGTTGCACAACTTATGTATTCCCTCTGAATATTATAATTTACAAATGATAAAACTATGATCATTTCATCTCCATCAACTTCATGAAAGGGAGCATGGTGGTTGATCTCAAAACTCTTATGACTGTCCCCCTACACCCTCCAGTCACCCTGCAAAGTTTGGTGAGGCTAACCCCAAGGATCTGGCCTTAGCCTTTTGTGTGTATATTTGATATCCTGGCCTCATCAGGAGTGGATCATAAGACTCAGGCTAGGGGTTACATCCTACTCCAGCACAATAGATGGACTGCCCAGCACATATTCCTATTCCTGGTGCAAGGCAGTAGCATTTTGAGTCTTTCCATACTCCAGTTTCACTTCCTACTAGCTTTCATTCCTTTCATAACTCTCATACCAACATTCCTTCCTTCCTTTCGTTATATGATTCACCTCTCATACCACTATCCTACTCATTATCCTCTATCTTATTTCAGCTTCCATTACTCTAATATTTATTTAACATGGCTGGCTAGGATCTTAGGTTGTAGAAGTAATGAGGTAATGATTGAGCTATGGTAACGAGCAATCACATGGTTAGTCAGGAATACAAATGCTTTCAAGCAATTTCTTTCTATGGAGTGCTGCACCTTTCTGTTTTCTTCTGTCAGCTATGTGGTGATCTCTGATCTGCAGTCTCCTTTTAGCCTCTTTGAGTGGAACAGATTCTGGTCTTGGTAGCCAGCAGACATTTGTGAGTTGTCAGAGGCATGGCATGTTTTACCTGAATTTACCCGAGGACCACCATCTTTAGTGGCCTCGATGGGGACAGGAAGAAGTGGCTTATCAAAGGTCCCACCAATGCTCCCGAGAATTTTTTCTAGCTGGATTTTAAAAGGTAGCAATGTCTTGGTATTTACAGCTTCAGCAGGTAGGCGATTCCATGGGTTAAAATCCTAGAGTGAAAATGTACCTCCTGTTTTCTGTCCTACATTTAGGCTTGTTGACCTTGAAGCCGTTGCCCCATTTTTGCATTACATCGACCCTTTAAAGATGTAGTCTGGGCTAATAGCCTCCAATTTGTTCAGTACTTTAATCATCTCGAAGAGACCAGCCCTGTCATGTCTAGTTTCCATGGCTTGAATGGTTTCAGGGTGTACAAAAGGTTATACCTATATGATAATAAATATATATATACAGTGGTACCTCGGAATGCAAGTGTCCCTGTATGCGAGTTTTTCGGAAGACGAGCAGGATTTACTCCAAAAATATGTCTCGGAAGGCGAGGGTTACCTCGGGACGCGAGTTTGTTGATACGTGTACAGGCCGACTGGCGCGTGGTGGCATGGCGATCGCGCCTCAGTTTACCAGTGTCTCGTGTCCAGTGACTATCCCACCTGAATTCTTCACAAGGATTTACAGTTTTTTATCGTTTTTTTGGCCATTTGAGCATAAAAGTTGTCATTATATATCTTGCCATGGGTCTCAAGAAAGCCATTAGTAAGGTTCAACCTAAGAAAATAGCTGTGAGTAGAGGCAGTAGAGGATGTCCCTTCTTGATTAAGAAAATGTGTGAAGTATGGGAAGAACTGCAAAGTTTTGTTGAAAAAACTCACCCAGATAAAGCTGTAGCAGGCCGTTGCATTGACCTTTTAAATGATAATGTGATGTCTTACTACAGACAAGTGTTAAAATGTAGGGAAAAACAAGTGTCATTAGACAAATTCTTAGTAAAACAAGCAAGTCCTAGTGGTATGCAGGCAAAATGTGCCAGAGTGTGCATACCAGTGAAGTCCTCACTGCCTGATGTGATAATGGAAGGGGACTCCCCTTCCAAACAGTAACTCCTCTCTTCCTCCCACCTCCTCACCATCTTCCATACGCCTACAGCATTCAACAGCAAGGTAAGTAATAACTTGAACATAGTTTTGTAGGTTTATTTAGATGAATTAGGTATAAAAATTTAGTTTGATGTGGGTTTTTTGGGGTAGTCAGGAACGGATTAATTCATTTCCCTTTATTTTTTATGGGGAAATTAGCTTCGGAATGCGAGTTTTCGGAATACGAGGCGTCTCCAGGAACCAATTAAACTCTTAAACTGAGGTATGCCTGTATATATATATATAAACAGTATCTCATGATTTTCATCACCCCATACAACAGTCTAATTTCTCATTTTGTTTCTACACATGAGAATCTCTAGTTCTCACAAGAAAAAAATACAAAAAATAACAAAATATAAGATATAGAGAAGGTTGAAGAAAATGAGTATAATCACCAATTTAAAATGTCGTTTCTATTACTACTATGAAGAACTAAATGCCGAACTAATGAATAAATTTACAAATCTGCTTGGACCCCAAGTTTAGTAAATGCATAGATGCATTTATGCATGGTCTATAAATGCATTTATGCATGGTCTATACAAACATGCATAGACCTGAGTAAATGCATCACAAACATGAATATATCTGAGTAAATGAGTAAGCAAACATACTAGGCCTTAACCAGAGTAAAGAAGTAAACACAGGTGCTTGGCCCTAACCTGAGTAAACAATGACAAGAGGTACTTGACACCAAAACATAACTTGTTGTCAAATAGACAACATCGCAATTATTTTGCTCACAAGAGGCTAAATGTTGTGCAACTTACCTCCAGTGCATTGTAGTATGAAGTACACTGACATTCCTTTTCTTCTAGTTCTGCTTTTAGTCTGGTTATAGCATCTTCTGCTTTAGCCAATTTGTGCTTGCCAGTCTTCATCTCAGCTTTCATAGATGACATTTGCACCTCTAATTCCTGTTTCTCACATGACAAGGTCATAATTTGACTCTGTGGAATTAAAACAAAGATGTTATAAGGATCCTCAACAAAAAGTCCCTCCTAGCCCACATCATGCCATGATTGGCTATTGAAGCTCAAAGTAAAGAAAGGTTCCAATTTGCTATGAATGCCAAAACGTTAGTTTTTGGAATAGTTATTATTAATTTTAATCACATACATATTGAATCTATGTGAAGTTTACCAGTCAGAAATGGTAGTCAGGTGGTTTTTCTATTAAAATAAATATTGAGAGATGTGGATAGAAACAATGTGTGGTGATGTGCTTGAATATAAGCACCAGCCAGCAAACATGCATAGTATTCTTTTCAAAAGGTTATACACTGTATACTGTGCATTGGAACTTCCTCTACTGAACATTCCTACTGCTATTATTTTGATATAGTAACACTAACTCATAACATGAATTAGCACCATTTTTACATAAAACAAAACATATTTACTCTAGCAAATGCAAGCACTAAATACAGCTGTGCCGCAATCAGACTAACATTAGGCTTGTCTTCCCCAGGGAATAAAATAAAAATGATTAAACCATTCATGGTTGTGTAAGGATTAAAAAATATTGGAACAAAACATATTTACTCTAGCAAATGCAAGCACTAAATACAGCTGTGCCGCAATCAGACTTTAACATTAGGCTTGTCTTCCCCAGGGAATAAAATAAAAATGATTAAACCATTCATGGTTGTGTAAAGATTAAAAAATATTGGAACAAAACATATTTACTCTAGCAAATGCAAGCACTAAATAAAGCTGTGCTGCAATCAGACTAACATTAGGCTTGTCTTCCCCAGGAGTAAAAATAAAATGATTAGACCATTCGTGGTTGTGTAAGGATTAAAAAATATTGGAACATTTGGTAAATATAAAAAATCCACTCTCCCCCTCCCTCTAAGGCAGAGGTTATTAAATGCACTCACATGCTAAGTTAGACAATAACAAGCTTGATAACAATTTTTAACTTTCTCTACATCATTCACTTTACAAACTTTTACTTGTTAACACCTTCAAATTTTTTATTCTGAATTGATGTTGATAATAACCTGCATGCTTGCTGTTGTCTCATCAACTGACTGCTCATGAATGGAGAAATTGCACATCTCAAGTTTCTCTTGAACATCCTTAAGCTGTGTTTTTAACAGAACAATGTGTTCTTCCATTTGATTAAGCTTCATCTGTTGGCTCTCTGCAGCTGCTTCCATCTCCGACACCTAGAGAAAATTAACTTTAATATCATGCCATCATCAATAAGCTCCTAAAAGATACAGTACAGTAGTATAGAACAGTATTATTAGAGCCACTTCCATCGCAGATGCTCCAAAACGAATCCAGAGCACTTTTGAGATAAATTTCAAATACAACCAATAAATATCTTTTAAAATATAAATGTCCCATTTGTACATATGCCAGCACTGTATATATCAAAATATAGGCATAAAGAAACAGGATGAATGAATGTGGGTATATGTAGGCAGTGGTGGTGTAAGTATACTGGTAGGCACTGATCATTCACCACCAGACTCCATACACAGTTTCAAATGTAGATTTGATAGAGACCAGTAGGCTCAAGAATTTGCACACCAGTTGATTGACGGTTGAGAGGCGGGACCAAAGAGCCAAAGCTCAACCCCTGCAAGCACAACTAGGTGAGTACCAACATATCATAATATTGTAATGCATAATTCCTTATTAGCCTAACCAAGAAGCAATACAGAGTTCAGTTATTGTTGTGCAGCGGCATAATTGTCATTCTCAACACCCAGCATCACTTGATTAACACTCACACCGCCTATGTACAGCATTTGCAGGTCTAAGAATCTCTTGAAAATGTCATGCTGCCACATGTTGTAATAAAGTCAAAAGCATCAGATGTAAATAACAAGCTTTACCAGTAGTTTTGCTACTGTGCATCACAGCTAGACTGATTAGTAAAGCTGGATTTTTGTTTGGAATGAAATACTACTTTATGAGTGGTTCATCTGTTTTTCTGAGCCAGAACCTATACAAACTGACTTCTGGGACTGATTGCTAATTACCTGTGGCCAGTGGGAATAAAAAGACAGCCTTGATCAGACGTCCTCAAAAGAAAGACACTCAAAAGCAAGAAGACATACTTTAAATTTAAAGTAGATAAAATTTAATTACTTTAAAGTAATTAAAGATGGATTAAAATTTAATGCAGAAACAGTGGAAATTCCAATTGTGCATGAGCAGGATTTAGGCAGGGAAACAACCCAACTCATCTTTGAGGAAAGAAGGTAAGGTCAAATTGATCCCAACACCCAAGACAGTGGATATGAAAGCACTGGCCGCTACGATGAAACTACAATAAAAAGTGGTGATGCCCCACAAGCAATCAAGAGAAGAAAACACAGAGCACTACCACCAAAAGCAAGGCCTGGTGTAGAACCAGAATGGTCAAATAGAGCCTGAAGTGTGAATTGAGTCCTGGGTAAACCACAAGGCCTGGCTCAGGAAGCAACTGAGGGATCATAGTTCAGAAACTGGCACTGGAAGTAATGCATTTTTACACTAGAATTATGAACAGAGGTACTAGTAACTCTTTACTAGTACCTCTGTTCACCTAGCAGAAATTTATGCTTGAATGGTAATGTATCATTCAAGGATAAAGCCCATCAATTACTACTCAATTCAAGATGATTCTAACTGTGGTAGTAAAATCAATTTGAGAAAAAACTCAAGAGAATTGTATGCAAAGGAGTATTTTATTATAGAAAAGAAACTCAAAACACAAATGTTGACCAATCCACACACTAGAAAATGAAGGGACGACGACGCTTTGGTCCATCCTGGACCATTCTCAATGTAACAAACTAGGCTGGTTGTAAGAATTATTCCAGAAGGTTCCAGAAGTTTTGTGTAGGGACCTGACCTCAACAACGCACATTCCTCTGGGGATTAGCAGGTCTGAGTCACAAATGGCGGGCGTCTCTGTTCATAGTTGCGTATAATGAACCAGTCTATAGTATTCACTTATTTAGAGAAATTAGCCTTTATTCATTTTGTATTAAAATTGTATTGTATAATATTACTGGGTACAATATCAAGAGTATTCTAATTATTGAGTTAAGTCACCATCATTGACGTCACGAATCAGATCTAAGTTATAAGGCGGAGTGACCTGGCGGTCATAGGTCATCAGAGTTGACATGTCCACTATTTCTCAAAGTTCAAATAACCATTTTGGTGATCGGAAACAGCTCTGCCGTTAGATGCTTGTGTAATTTAACTTCAGTAAAATAATTCAACCAGTCTGGATCAATTAAGTACAACAGAAGTTAATTGTTATAACTTAAACCTTGCTAAGTAACTTGGTAAGCGATGCGGAACAATACAATGCTCTAGTCTGGGGAAGACCAGAGAGAGGGAGATCAGTGTGGATTCGAGATCAGCTGGGAGAGGTCAACCATCTTACCTCCCCCAAGACCAGCCCCAACATCTGAGCTGAGCTGGTCGCCCAAGGTAGAGTTGCTTTATGAGTTTTTATAGGGATAGTCAACTCATTGCCATTCAGGTCAAGTAGGGAGTGAACATCTTTAGATTTTGTTTTAGTTTTTCTTTTAATAAATTAATTAGTTAACAATTTGCATTTTTATTATTTCCATGTGTATGTTCTATTTATATGAATTTGTCCTGGTCACGTGGTCCCTACGAGGCAGAGTTGAATTGGGCGCCGATTCTAACACCAAATCGGAAGTCATCTTTACCGTGTAATTAATTCCACACTCAAGGTCCTCGGTTATAGTGGGGATCAAGCCCCAAGGTTGATTTATTAGCATGATCGATCCAGACCTCGATCATTGCTCAGTGTTACTGGTCTGGTGGTGGCGGCGGAGGCGACTCTAGGGTTTTGCTCAAAGTCTATGTCACGTCATATGGGTTGTAGAATCCTAAGTCGGTCAATCGTCTTAGGACCACGTGGCGTGGAGTCGGCTTTAGTAAAGTTTTGGAGTCCCTTGTAGAGAATAAAAAGTAAGAATACAGGTAGGGGGGAAAGAAGAAGGAAAGATCAGTCGAGAACACCCCTCCCCGTGTTACATCAAGTCGATTGTGACAATCAAGTCTCACAATTGACTTGAGAATGGTCCAGGACGGACCGAAACGTCATCGTCCCTTCATTTTCTAGTGTGTGGATTGGTCAACATACTTCACCCACGTTATTGTGACTCATCGCCTCAAAACATTTAACAAATTAATGTTATCAACTATAATATTCATATATTTTATAATAACTATTTTGAGACAAATGCAACAAATATTTTACAAGCACAACTTGCTTAACAAAGTGTCAAAAAAGATCCATGGTAATGTATCATTCAAGCATGCGGTGTGAATTACAGTATTCACAAGAACAATACCTTCTTAGTATGCTTAAGAATTTCTTGTCCATGGCTGCGAGCTTGAGATGAGAGCTCTTGTTTGTGTTGTGCACGAAGGTGTTCCAACTCTTGTGACAAGGAGCGTTCTATTGCAATCTTGGCCTCTAACTTCAAAGATATGCAGTGATTTTGCTGTTGGAGTTCCTGTTTAAATGCCTTCAATTAATCATTTGTTCATAAAGTTTCATATACAGAACAATAATACAATATGAGGATACTATAAAAGAAGGATAATATAATGCATTAAAAAAAAATTAAGCAATTATATATGGTTGGATCTTAAGGCACAATTCAGTGTTAATAGATCCTGATTATATCAACAGTTAAGCAGTACACTGTCCAGGAACTGACCCTACAGGCAGTTTTCAAACATTCAAACAGGTTCATATAGAGTGATAAGGGATCATTCGAGATTACTTAATAGTGGGAGGAGGAGGCTAACGTCAAATTTAATTAACTCGTATGCTCCAGAGGCATGGTTCCAGCGTCTTAACTTGGATTTTGGTCTAGATACTTTTCTCCTGGACTGAACAGGCTTTCATCTCGACACCACCTGAGATTCAGAATTAACCTGACACTCCCACAAAGTCTAAACAAATAATTTACATTTACGTTGTCCATTATGGAATAAACTGCCTCTCAGCCATCAACATGAACACATTTTCGTTGCTCATTTCACTAAATGGCACTTTATAATACAATACAATAAGAATGTCTTATGTCTTAATGCAACAGAGTTAAGCTATCTCGGATGGGACACAAATGGCTGGGCATGTTTCCTTTCACAAAGTACTAGTACCTCTGTTCACCTAGCAGAAAATAGGTCCTTGTGAGTTTGTCAACTGTCCTGGGGTTCCACCCTGGGGAACATCAGTACTTTGGCCCTGGGATGGACCTCGATATAAGCTTAACATATATGTATATTCACAGGCTGCCTGTCCCCTATGAAACAAATTATTACTACTTATGTTGACCAAACCACACACAAGAAAGTGAAGTGTGTGGTTTGGTCAACATATTTCAGCCACGTTATTGTGACTCCTCGTCTGCACATTATTACTTATTGTTGTCTATTAAAAATTTAATATTATAATGGATGTAATACAATCACACTGCATCGTATAAGCTCGGTATAATCAGTATCTGTCCTGCTAATTCAATATTGTATTACAAAGTAATTCAAGATATGAAAATACTCTTCATTATATGCCGTTCAACCAATATTATATTATCTTATGTTATTTTACTTTTGTCTTGGATATTTTATGCAAATTTTAGTACTGTACAGTAAATGTATTCAAATGTCTGCTGGAAAACCCAATTTTAGTAAGCACAGCTAACTGACACTCCACCCCAATGTACTTCAAGATTTACATCTCTGTTTCAAATTCAAATAAAAATTTGATTAAGATTGTTGGTTCAGGGAGTAGTCTTTTGTGTGCTCCCTTCCCATTTCAGAGTCTTTGAGCAGATTGATATTTCTTTTGGCAAACTAACTCTTCAATCAGAGGTCAATGTTTTCTTGACCCACGATCCACATCTTGAAGCTGTTACAAGGCTTAGGCAACCTTTCTTAAGCATGAGTACAGTATACCTTCATGTTCATGTGCTGCAAACATATGCTACCTTTACTACCTTCATCTAGAATCTGTAAATTTTAACTATTTTAATTTTATTTTATTTAGAAGCAAGAAAATCTTGCAATAATGGCAAGTTGCCAACCATTAAATTTTTTTTTTGCTATGAAAACATAAAACATTCAATTTAACTAAATACAAATCGTAGGAAAGTACCTAAGTACAGGTATGTTATAATTAAAAATAATATTGTTAAGGACTTGTGACACTGCATTTTTGGTGAGAAGATTCAAATCTCAAAACACCCTTGTTTAAGACTTAGAGTGTCAGCACCTAGATTTTATTCAATTTTGAAAAAACTTTCAAATTTAAAAGTTTGTTTCAACATTTTTAATTAAAAGTTACAACTTTAATTAAAAATGTCTAGAATATAGCTGTGCAAAATAATAATAATTATATATATTAATAAAGATCATTGAGATTGAATACCTTTCATTAAAAATCATGAGATAATAACAGTTAAACAAAACAGCAACATACCTACACAAAAACTAGCATACACAGACCTCTATTTTAGTTGTAGATTCCTTGAAAGTGTCTTCAAGTTTAGTATGAAGATCATGATTTTCTTCCAAAAGCTGCTTGCCGTATGTTGCTGCTAAAATAGCATTCTTCTCTGCTTCCTGTAGACGCTGCTGCAGGTCATTTAATTTTGAGTTCTGACATTCATCCATTGTGAACAGGTGTCAACACGTGTAAACTTGATATATTTTTGTCAACGAGCAGGTTCTGTATTTATAAAAAATACCATTAGATATCAATAGCACTAACAAATGATTATGTCTGTTGCAATACAAATTTAAAACGTTAAGACATTTTATATTTTAAATAAAAGGTTTTAAACTATATTTAATTCTTTCTTGTTCATAGGCAGATGTAAAATCTTTAGGCAGTACAATGACTAGGACGCAGACCTAGAAAAGTGCACTATGGAAAATGGCATTGATGCAAAGATTTGCTGCAAATGTAGGAGCAGGCTCTCAAGTCACCAAAACAAAGTGTCTCCACATCACTTGTAAGGCAAAGTAATTATCAACAGAATGTACCAAGTTAGTACAACTACTGTACTTCATATAGCACTTGAGAGAAACATGAGAACAGCAATTAACCATCAACCATGGGGTACCCCCATGGTTGATGGTTAATGTAAGAACAGAGTTCTTACTGTTCATGTAAGAATAGAATTCATCACTGTATCTTATTGTACAGTTTACCAGAGCCGCCCGCTTAGTAACGATCGTGCTTGTAAAGAATTTCATTGTTTTTGTGCTTTTTTGTTTTTTGAACATAAAAGTAATTATTATATATCATGCCATGGGTCCCAAGAAAGTCAGTGGTAAGGTTTAACCTAAGAAAACACATGTGAGGATGACCATAAAGAAAAAACAAGAGATTCTAGCTAGGCAGTACAACAAATCTATGTCAATGATATCCACTGTACTTGCAAAGAAAAAGGACATTATGAGTGCTCAAGTGGCAGAAGGCTTATCAATATTCACGAAACATAGACCACAAACACTTGAGGATAGTTTTTATTAATTAGGATACACAAGGAGTTAGTGGGTGATAGCATTTCAGAAGCCATCATTTGTGAAAAAGCAATAGCAAGGCTATTGCATGAAGATCTTATAAAGAAAACTTCTGGAACAAGTGATGCAGATGAAAAAGTTTAAGGCAAGCAGGTGACGATTTGAAAAATTTAGAAAAAGAAGTGGCATTCATAGTGTTGTGAGAGTTGTGAGTTGGTGGAGGAACCACAGAAGAACTCCTAGCCTTTCACAATGAGCAGTAACAAGAGACAGCTGAGGAAATTTCTTCAGGGGAGTTGGAGGCAGTACAGAATGTCCCTTCTTCAACAATTAATAAGTGGTGTGCAGTTTGGAAAGAAATGCAAAGTTTTGTTGAAACGACTCATCCAAATCAACAATTAAGGCCTTTGCATTAACCTTTTTAATGACACTGTGATGCCTCACCACAGACAAGTGTTCAGACGTAGGGTAAAACAAGTCTCTATGGAAAGGTTCTTAGTGAGATAAACAAGCAATGAGCCACAACCAGATCCTAGTGGTATGTAGGCAAAACATAGGAGAGAGAGTACCCCAAAAAAGTCATCACTGCCTGATGTGATAATGGAAGGGGACTCCTCCTCTCTCCCACCTCCCCACCGTCTTCCATACGCCAACTAGAATCCTCAATAAAGGTAAGATATACATACTGTATTGTAGCTAGTATAAAAAGTGCTATTTGGTATAAAATGTATTTTTAATACATTTTATATCAAATTTTATACACCCCCAATATTTTTGGGGGTGTGGAATGGATTAATTCAATTTACATTATTTCTTATGAGAAAATTCATTTTGACTTACGACCCGTCTGGGAACGGATAAAATTCGTAAATGGAGGTACGACTGTACTGGCCTCCTAATACAGTATTAAGCAAAACACCCCTAAAATTACACATCATTAATTAACTGCCTGACTGATAGAACCAAATTAAGATGTGTACTGGAAGTTACTCAGAGAGAACATTATAAACAGAAAGCTCTAAACTAAAGGTTTGAGTCCTTTCTACTCAATTACTTTCATATCATGCAAGGTGGTGATAATGACCATAAGAAAGAGACAAACATCTGAAGAGAAGATACCTTGTAATATATCAGATGGATCAGGGCTGGTAAATCCTGCCTTGACATTTTATTCCCTGGCAACTGAGATATATAACAGAGAACTGATTGACAGGAAGACATAAGGCAGAATAATAAGAATAATGACTGAATAATAAGACAGAATAAGAATAAGAAAGAATAAGACAGGAAGGCAGATTGTATATTTTTGGACTGTAGTCAGTAAATGGGATGTTGCCAGTGGTGTGCTACATGAGTCAGTATTGGAGGAGACCCTATGGGACAGACTCCTTAAACTTAGTGCAAAAGTTATGAGGATAAATGTAAGGGAAGAGTGCATCTGTAGGATGACCAGAACAAAATGAAAGAATGGCCCAGCAATACACAGAAAAATCACATTATCATGATATATTTATTTAAATACAAGAAGGTACACTGGGTTTATGAGAGTACATAGCATTGAAGTTTTTACATCATTGTACACGCATAGTGTTTCGGGCAGACTTATCAAGACTTATCAGACTTATGCCCGAAACGCTCTGCGTAATAGTGGCTTTAGGCATTGTATGTACTAGCTATACCTATAAGTTAAACAATCCTTGTAAATATTTATTGTATGTATGTACCTTACCTAAATAAAATTGTATTGTATTGTATTATATCAACGCGAAAATCCACAGGAGCCGCGGTGATGCATCTGGGAATACCCGGTGCATAGGTTCGAGTCCTCATCACGGCTCCTGTGGATTTTCTTCTTAATGGTCCAGCAATTTTCTTCTAAGAGTTGAGAGTTGGAGCCACAGGCGCCATAACCCAGCCCTCAAGGTACACGAGTCGCCGCCAGTACTCCACTTACCCTTCATAACACCCGTAACCCCCTCGCATAAAACTGACCCCTCGTGTTTAGAGACAATTGCCGGAGAGAGACAGAGTCTTAAAGATCGCGCCAAGGTTTATACAAGTGGGAAATAACCCGGAATATCGGGGTCGCTACTCAAGCTGGAGTTCCACTGTTGTTGTCGTGACTTCAAATTTGGTGCCTCCGGGCTAACACTTTTCAAAAGTGAATGGTCTCTTTATACATATATAAATATATATATATATCTACATAAGATTGAAATTTGTAATGTATCAAGAATTTATATTCATTTTCCTAAATAAAAAAAAATATATATAAGGAAGATATATACAATTTCAGCTTAACTTTAATTTACAAAGATTTGATATTTAGAAAATGTAATAATTCCAGGATTATAAGCTAATTTTAAATATATCAAAATAATTTTTAATATATATTAATATATACATCTACTATGTTAATGATTACATTATACAAAGGGTGCTTGTTTTAGCCTTGTTGTGTAAGTAAACAAACAGCAGCAGCTCGGTCAGCTGTTACTCCGGCCAGTGTGGTCACCGCTCCAAGTGAGAGGTCAAGAGTCATCAATACAGCCGTCATCACCTTCATTAGTGGTCAGTAGGACCCCCTACTGCTACACTTTTGCCAGTCATCAATACTGACAACCTCATTCTACACCGTCAGTGGCCACTAGGGCAATCCTGCCACACCTTCGTTGGTGGCCACTAGGGCAATCCTGCCACACCTTCGTCGGTGGCCACTAGGGCAATCTTGCCACACCTTCGTCGGTGGCCACTAGGGCAATCCTGCCACACCTTCGTCGGTGGCCACTAGGGCAATCCTGCCACACCTTCGTCGGTGGCCACTAGGGCAATCCTGCCACACCTTCGTCGGTGGCCACTAGGGCAATCCTGCCACACCTTCGTCGGTGGCCACTAGGGCAATCCTGCCACACCTTCGTCAGCAGGGCTCTCGTGCTACACATTCATCAGAGGTCACTACAGACCTCGTGCAACACGTCTGTCAGTAGGCAGAAGAGCCCTTGTGCTACACCTGTCAGCCCTGGAAACACAAACCGTATCTGTCTCTATTTTCCGCTTGTTACAACTTGTAATCAAGTTGTTACATCTTGGCTTAACGTGTTTATGACGTATTAGAACGTTGTTATAACTTGCTATATTGATTGTTATAACTTGTTGGGTGTTAAAACTTGTTCAAACGTTGTACCAACGTTGTAGTTTCGCTGTGTGTTTGTTGGGAGTGGACAGTAGGGCCCTTGTGCTACACCTGTCAGTGGACAGTAGAGCCCCTCATATTACACCTCCGTCAGCAGCCAGTAGGGCCCACATCCCACAGCTCCGTCAGCAACCAGTAGGGCCCACATCCCACACTTCCGTCAGCAGCCAGTAGGGTCCACATCCCACACCTCCGACAGCAGCCAGTAGGGCCCACATCCCACACCTCCGTCAGCAGCCAGTAGGGCCCACATCCCACACCTCCGTCAACAGCCAGAGGGCCCACATCCCACACCTCCGTCAGCAGCCAGTAGGGCCCACATCCCACACCTCCGTCAACAGCCAGTAGGGCCCACATCCCACACCTCCGTCAACAGCCAGTAGGGCCCACATCCTACACCTCCGTCAGCAGTCAGCACGGACCCCCAGGCAACACACCTGTCAGTGGCCAGTATTATGGGCTATTCATGCATGTGCCACCTCTTGGGTGGCTTAATCTTCATCAGTCAGTGGCCAGTAGGGCCCCCCAGGCCTCACATACCTGTCACTGGCCAGTAAGGTCATTGTACTAAACTGATTATATGTATTAAGTTAGCAAGAAAGAAAGAAGTTATTTTATAATTTAAAAACTAAATTTTATCAAGAATAATTGTTGCTAACGTTTGATATATTAAATTGTTTTTAGAAGAACATTATTTATGTATTAAACTTAATATGTCTCCTGCCAATTTTTATTTTATTCGTTACATTGTTTCCAATATGCATCAAATTAATACTGTATTTCTCCAAACCTAACATAATATATCTTTTACATTAATCTCTGGAACTGTTATACAGTAGTCCTATTACACCCAGTGTAATTTTTAGCACAATTGGAGCATACCTTCGCTCTTTCATGGTTTGGACCTTGTTTTGAGTATACTGTATAGCAGTCTTCTAAAAGAAATAACTTTCCTAAAGGGAATTGTGTATTAAAATGAAGATATAGGTACTATACTATATGTTCCAAATATAATTTTCATGCAAATTTTTAATTTACACTGAGGTACAGTGCTTGACTTTTCATAATATAGTATAATTTATTTCAGATCACACATTGTACTTGCCACCACCAATCACAAAATGAGGCGTCGTGCAGGTGTTGGTGCTATTCAGAGGCAAAAAATCCAGCAAGATAAGTTTAAGGAAAAAGGAAGTGAAATTCAAGAAAATCAGCTGGAACAGGTAATATTGCTTGATGGAATGATTTATTACAATTTCTTGTCTTCATAAGTACATTACAAAACTGTATGTCAAGATGTGTTATTTGGTCTACCTGTTCTGCTTCTTGTTAGCATGAATTTGGGAATTTGATATTTATGGGCTTGAAACACATAGAGCACTGATTCAGATCCCCAGATCTAAAGGCACTGATTCAAAGGGTTGATGGTAACAAGGCCTTTCATGACCTTATCAGGCCTGCTGAGAATGCAGGACCAAAATCTGGTTCTTCAGAAAGAAAAAAAGAATACTGTACAGGTTGTAGATGAACCTACAAACAGTAAAGCATCACCAAAAACAAATCAAACAGCACAAACAGTAAAGCATCACCAATAACAAATCAAACAGCACAAACAGTAAAGCATCACCAAAAATAAATCAAACAGCACAAACAGTAAAGCATCACCAAAAACAAATCAAACAGCACAAACAGTAAAGCATCACCAATAACAAATCAAACAGCACAAACAGTAAAGCATCACCAAAAACAAATCACCACCCATAGAGAAGACGAGTGAAACAATATGAAAACATAACCGTTAAGTAGTCATCAGTAACAGCAATTGCTCAACCTTCCCCAATCCCCACCAGAGCCTGTTAACAGCACAGCTTTCATTTATGTGTCAAGTTTATTATTGTAGTAATGCCTCTGCAGGAACTGTAGATGTAGCTTTTATAAAAGTGAAGCGGTTTTTGGCTTTCCTGGGATGACAGAATCCTATGCAGAGGCCATTGTTGTGATTAGTATTATTTTTACACTTCCATAGGGGTTTATGCCAACTATGCTGAGTCTCAAGTGCTTTAAATTGCCCGGTCACTTGAGTAGGGTTCTCTTCTCTTGCATCAGTTTGTGATATCCATTCCACCACCATTGCACTAGCTCCTCTTTGCCAACACCAGTGCACTGCCTTCTCTGTGCCACTGCCAGTGTACTGCCTTCTCTGTGCCCCTGCCAGTGCACTGGCTCCTCTTTGCCAACACCAGTGCACTGCCTTCTCTGTGCCACTGCCAGTGCACTGCCTTCTCTGTGCCACTGCCAGTGCACTGCCTTCTCTGTGCCACTGCCAGTGCACTGCCTTCTGTGCCACTGCCAGTGCACTGCCTTCTCTGTGCCACTGCCAGTGCACTGCCTTCTCTGTGCCCCTGCCAGTGCACTGCCTTCTCTGTGCCACTGCCAGTGCACTGCCTTCTCTGTGCCACTGCCAGTGCACTGCCTTCTCTGTGCCCCTGCCAGTGCACTGGCTCCTCTTTGTCAACACCAGTGCACTGGCTCCTCTTTGCCAACACCAGTGCACTGGCTCCTCTTTGCCAACACCAGTGCACTGCCTTCTCTGTGCCACTGCCAGTGCACTGCCTTCTCTGTGCCCCTGCCAGTGCACTGCCTTCTCTGTGTCCCTGCCAGTGCACTGCCTTCTCTGTGTCCCTGCCAGTGCACTGCCTTCTCTGTGTCCCTGCCAGTGCACTGCCTTCTCTGTGTCCCTGCCGGTGCACTGCCTTCTCTGTGTCCCTGCCAGTGCACTGCCTTCTCTGTGTCCCTGCCAGTGCACTGCCTTCTCTGTGCCCCTGCCAGTGCACTGCCTTCTCTGTGCCCCTGCCAGTGCACTGCCTTCTCTGTGCCCCTGCCAGTGCACTGCCTTCTCTGTGCCCCTGCCAGTGCACTGCCTTCTCTGTGCCCCTGCCAGTGCACTGCCTTCTCTGTGCCCCTGCCAGTGCACTGCCTTCTCTGTGCCCCTGCCAGTGCACTGCCTTCTCTGTGCCCCTGCCAGTGCACTGCCTTCTCTGTGCCCCTGCCAGTGCACTGCCTTCTCTGTGCCCCTGCCAGTGCACTGCCTTCTCTGTGCCCCTGCCAGTGCACTGCTTGGTGGTTGTCAGGGGGGAGACTGGGAAAGGGTTATTACTTGTGCCCAACTGTCAGTGTTTTCTTATTGTTTTATCTGTTTTCTCAACAAACATGTCTTTGTTTGTTTGGTGATGCTTTGCACTATGTGATATTCTTTGGTGGTAGGTTGACCTTTTATCCCAACTCTTCTCTCACAGCTGTAGAGAGAACCAGATTTGGATTGTGTTCTCTGCAGGCTAATGAAAATTGTAGGAGGCCTGATTGTTACTATTGGTCCTTTTAACTTGGTGCCTTTAGCTCAGAGAAGACACTTGGAGTTCCCTACAGAGATTGATGTTTCATCATATTCAAGACTGCAGTATTTGTGTATTGTTATGCAATGTATTTTGTTTTTATAATTTTTTTTCTGAAATTAAATGGCTCTACATTTGTCTAAATTGCAAAAATATTGCAAGTTTTTTATTTGTATTATAATGTAGATGTTTGTTTTTAATAGTTTGTTGTAGATGATACCTTTCTCCATACAATTTTTGGAAATATACAAATGCTCTAGGCTTGATTGCCAGTAGATACTGACGAGGCATACAGAAATGTGCACTACATTACACTCGATGCTCCATTTTTCTTCCTCGCTCCAAAGCTTGTTCAACCATTTTGTTTCTTCTAGGCTCCCTTCTAACCTTTGTCGTCATGTGAGAGGTGATTAGGGAGCGATGCTTTCCCTTCTCATATCTATAGATTCTTTTCTAGTCGGACCTTTCTTTGGTTATGAGGTCTTCATCTATCGCAATTTTTTCACTTTTCTTCATCTATCCCAAATACAATTTTCTCTCTGCTCTCATTTTCTCTTGTTGTCCTTTCTGTCCTTCATACCCGAGCCCCCACCAGGGCACCCCACATGTGCACCTCATCCAAAGCACAGCACACACTCATTCTATCCTTCTATGTACATACTTTTATATGCATTAAGTACAAAGTTAGAGAAACATTTGTAAGAATTGACATATAAAATTTGTATTGTGTGTGGTGTGCCTGGTATATGGACCAGGGCTTTCTCAATTGGCTGCAATTGAAACATGTCTAGTTATTACTTTTTTATATTGATGATTTGTGTTCTTTTTCACTATCATCATTTCTTATATTGGTCACCTTTATTAACACTTTGGCGTACCCCCCGCGCCACCCCTCAACTGTACGATTTGGGTCCCAGGGTGTCACGGGAGCGCGCGTAAATTCTGAAAAGTGTATACTCTCTTCAACTTTGTCACCTTAATTCTCGTCCTACGAGATTAAATTTGGTATCATTGTGTTCGCAATAGAATTCTCTACAGTACTAAATGCATATAAACTCCAAAAGCCCGGCTAATTACCCGCAGCAAACAGAGAAAGTGTGAACGAGTTACCCAGGAGCGCACAAACGCGATAAAATGTTTTCACTATTTTCACTTTGGTCACCTCAATTTTCGTCCTAGGTCTTTCATTTTGGTCTCATTGGGTTTGCAATAGAATTCTCTAGAGGAACATTAGCATATAAAATAAAAAACCTGGTCACGCTCCAACCGCCGACGAGTTGAAGACGGGCCACGCGTTAGCCGCGAGTGAGCGCTCAGACGCCTTCCAGCTACACTCCCAATTCCCGCCCTTTTCAAACCTTTCTTTCACAATTTTCTTCCTGGAAGGGCCTTGTTCATGATCACTATCCATCGTAGAGTAAGCGTAGATAGTTTCTAAAGCCGCAGTAAGAAATATAGCCACGGAAAATGGCCGAAATGTTCACACGTTTGAGATGGGAAGGGAGGCGACATTGGTCACAACAGTGGAGCGAAAACAATGGGCCCACGGCGTGTGCCAAGCTGCCTGAGGGCCACGAGGCTCAACAAAGAAAATGGGAAGACATCAGCGTGCATTTTAAAACAAGTCCCCAAAAAATCGGATAAAAACCTGATTTTTGGCGATTATTTAAAGTGGATGACGCAATGCTGCGTCATCCCCGGCATTACCGACAGTAAACGGATGACGCAATGCTGCGTCATGCCCGGGCGAAAGTGTTAACAATAAGAAGCATATTTTGTTATCTAATTGGTGTATATACATAATATCATAGTGAAAATGATGTTAAAGAAAGCCCCAAATTACACTCAGTAATTTGTACAAGGCTTAAAGCTATTAGAATTTATTATGTTATACGTAGTCACTGACAGCTTTGGTTAAATTTTAGAAGTACAAGTACTATACTGTATTGCAGCAAGTTTGCCAAGCTGGCATAACAGATTTCAGGTTACCAGTGATACTTAAAACTAGAGGCCATATACATTATTATAGCTTATGTGCTGGTGGAACAATATGCTGTACTAATTTTAAGAGAAATTATGAAAAATAAAGGTGTATACATATAAACTCATTTTTGTTCTGTGAATCTTGTTGCTGAAGAAAAATTAATTCTGGAGAATATCATTGTAGCATTTGTGATTATGTGTGATGCCTCTCACACAAAACTTTATATTTTTTTCAGATGACTCTTCAAATGGAGAAATTTCGTGAAAAATTAGAAGAATTTGCTGCCAAGCATAAAACCGAGATCAAGAAAAATCCTCAGTTTAGGAAACAGTTCCAGGAGATGTGTGCTTCCATTGGTGTTGATCCTCTCGCTTCTGGCAAGGGTAAGTATCAAGTTATGCTTTTTATAAATGGGCAGCATACTATTTGGTCTGGAAATGTATTTGTTTTCCCCCTTCTTCCCTCCCAACCCAATATGTTCAAGGGAGATAGTCAATGATCTAGAACAGAGGTAAGCACAGTTGGCTTGCAACCGTTTGGACCAGAATTTGATTCTTGAGCAATGCAAAACTTTTGGGGACATTTCCTTACACTTGATGCATCTGTTAACTTAGCAGTAAATAGGTACCTGGAAGTTAAGGTAACTGTTGTGGTTAAGGCCGGTTGGTCTAGGGGGACGTCAATAAACCTATCGGGCTCCCTGTCCATGATAATTGCAAACGTGTGTACACTGCTCTTACTTGACTGCTTTATCTGTGGACCATTTCTAATGTGTTTAAAAGGTGAAGGAACAACTACTAAAACTAAAGTGCTCATTTAGTGTAGGTATAGATTGCAAAGTGCTTGTAGCTAAATTCTGTCTTCAGACTAAACAAATTCGTGGTATGTTGGTGGGAAAATACAATACAAAATAAATACTAGTAATAGTGCTGTACTGTATATCATAAATAATTTGATCAGTCTCACTTCAACATTTCTGAAAAACAATGATAATCAGTGTGACCTGTTGTGCATACTGTTTCTTTACTACAGTATTAGCATTGGTAAGTTTGACCAAGTGACCCTTAAGGCATATCAAAGATCAGGTTCAGTGCCTAACTTGAGTGGTATTGTCTTCATCAAATAATATTGCAGGGAAGCATATAGCAAATATGCCTATATAGATGGGCTATGTAGAGAAGGTAATGAGAGTTCCTAGAGTGGGATGACTAACCTTGCAAACAAAAAAATAACACTATGGTACTTGTCTGTGTCAAATATGCATAGTTTGTCCTCTGCAGACCTGTCCATATAGGTGCTATCAGTGATGAGGTCCAAGAATACTTCCTGCATATTCTCGTTATGCTGTTGATCTTCATGGCATCTAAAATAAATTCTTCGAGTGCCATGACGGTGCTATTTACCTCGATTCCAGAAAAATATCGGTTAAACCTGTCTACGAAGAAATGCAGATTTTTTAGAATTCTTTCAAATTTAGTTCAACATCACAATGAAAGCTCAATTGAATTGGTGTGGGTGATGATGGATTTTCCCAACCTTTTAAGCTTCATATTTACTTTATTCAGTGATTGAAAGATATTTGTGAGGAAGGCAAACGAGAACACAAAGCTCTCATTGATGCATAAACACTGTTCATCATGTTTTCCCTGAGCTCCCAACACATTTCCCAGTTCTTGATAAATAATTCTAAAATGTATGCAGGCATATTGACCTTAGGCAACCAACTGAGTCGTGTGTGGAACAACAAAAGTTGATAGACAGAATCCGCGTCCTGGTATAGTAATTTTGAACAGTTGAATATTCTGGGCTCTAATTTTTACATAGGTGACATTTTGACATGATTTTTTATTTTTTACATCTTGGTGATATTTTTCAGCACCAAATAAGTTTTGGGTGAGCATCTTTGGAAGCTAATGCTTCACGTTTTATTATGTTGTGCACCTAAAACATTTGAATTCTTCTTCTTCACTCTTTATGATAAAACCCAAACGTGATGCAAGTATTTTCATAGTGCCATCAGAACAGATACCACCAAGCTGAATACATGAAAAATCCAGCTTCTCAAATTAATGATTTTCCATTGTCGGGGGAAATTTTAATGCTGACTCAATTCAATTCAATTTTTATTCAAAAGAATGTGTGTACAAAGAACATAAGAGTAATGTACAATTGTAGGGATAGGAGTTATACAATCTATGAAGCTACTATTACACAAAGCGATTCGGCCAAAACAAAAAACTAAGTAGACAAAAATTTAACAAAATGTGTGAGGGGGTAAAACACTTAATACAAAAGGAGAAATAAGCTAACAAAGGGAGAACGTTCATGGAAAATAACAAATGTATGCAAATGAGGTGAGAATGGAAAAACAAGGTGTAGTTTAGGAAAGCAACTGGACTCTTTTTCTCATAACATTTTGTTTGGAACATAACAAATCATAGAGTATTCTGTATAATAATTAAGGTCAGTGGGGCCAACACTAAAAATAAACCTGTGATCACGGCTCCTGTGGAATTTTTCATTGACAAGACCCCGTTACTGTGATTTCTGTGTGTATTGAAAGAGGGGTGTCAGAGGTAGAATTACTGGATGACGGAGCCAGAGTGGATGCGGGAATTGTGTGAAATTTTGGTTCGGCTTCAGTAGAAGCCCCAGGAATCCTCGTGGATTCAGGAGAACCCCAGGTTGCAATTCTTTTACCATGTCGTGGCATAGTCGTCTAGAGCGTGCATCTGAGGATACCCAGCACATAGGTTTGAATCCTCATCACAGCTCCTGTGGATTTCCTCTTCCTATTGAGTGCTAGCAGCTTATCTCTCTTCCCATCCTCTCAGTTGATTTGAAACATTTGTCCATTCATACAAAACTTCTCCATTAAGAGTTCATTTTAAATGGATGTGCATCTCGTTAATAATGACCAAATTTGTGTTGATCACCTCATAGAAACTCCTAAGATTGTTAAACTTATTGTACTTGCATTCACGTTAACTATTGATTGTCTTCAGAATTGCTACTGCGTAATTTACTTAAAATCAAGTCATAATGGTGAGAAACTCAAAATAGGGATATAACCACATGACCGCTAATCAGAAGTACAGTAGCAGACTGAAATCCAGTGTGATTGGGTATAATCTGTTCCAACTATGTACAGAGTAAAGAGTTGAGGTTATCAAAGTGATATACAGTATGTGATATACAGATTGTTGCCACTTGATTCCTGGAAGATTTGGAGTGAATTTGGACTTGATGCCCAACTGTGCTTTGTTATGTAAAAAGTGCCCTTGTGTGAGCGTGTCAAACGAGCTGCCATGGTCCATTTTCAGCCTCGCGCCCCAAGCTGCCAAGTGCATTGTTCCACCATGGGAATTCCCTACCACCTGTGTCTCTTACACATGCCACACATGTTCCTTACAGCTGCCACCTGCTCTATTTCACGAGTAATCTTGTTAAGATAACACATGTGGATTTGTAGCAAGAAGATCCAGCTCCTATTCTGTGTGAATCTTGCATGTTCAACCACATGCTGTCATGCTGAAATTGATGTAAGAAGAGACTTCCATTTGCATATCCCACGTGCCTAGCTATGCTGAGCCTGTGCCAGTGCAGCTCTATGGTCATCATCAAGTTGTATGGACATGACTATAGTGAGTGAGTCTCAAGGTCAGCGAACTGTAAGACCAAATCTCGATTATATCCCTAGTTTCCTTGTGATGATCTCGGTGATTAGCCAGCTGATTAAGCATACCTCCTTTCCACCTGCAATAGGTGAGGGGGTTGAACAATCGAGGTGATTCCCAAGTGTCAGATGTTTACCTATGTGGGACACTTGTTCTTGGTATAGGAGGTACCTCACATACACCACACATTTATTGCCTTGGTGACGTGTTTAATTCATGGATTTATTCTTGTCTCAGTGGTACGTGTTTATTTCACTGATTGTGACAATGTACATTTTATGGTATTGTTGTGTACTGCCTGAGTGTTCAGTGCAGAACTTCATTCAGTGTCCCTTGATATTGAAAGTGTCATTATACAGTAATTGTCAGTGTGTTCACCAGTGTTCAATTACCTGGTAGTTAACAATTGACCCATGCTGGAGGGCAGAGACTGAGTATCCCCTCGTACTAGCACAGTGGGAAACAATTTGTGTTGTGTATGGTTGCATATTTTTGTGGTGACACTCATGGTTAGAGTAATGTCCAGCTCCCTGTGTTTATTGAATAAGCCTATTATTAATACCAGTGTCTTTGTCAGCATTTTCCTAAGTACAGTACTGCCCATGCAACTTATTCTACCATTGTCAATACGAAGGTAACTGTTGATACCAACGCCGAGTTTCGAGATCCTGATTGCTCACTACCACACAAAAGGTAAATTTTTGGTGTAAGAATTTGAGAGTGAGAAATGACTCGAGTCATTTCTCTGGAGCAGCATTTATGCAATGAAGTGAGGCTGATGACTTAGTGACATGAGATACAGATACCTGTATACTTGTCTGGAGATTGGTGTGGTGTGACATCCCATTCTCTGCTTGAGGTACAGCAAATCTTTGTGGTTGGTCTCACATTTGTTTTATGCCAATTGATAGCTTGTAGGGTGACCACCATAATCATTGGTACTGTTGCATGGAGTTGCAGTCATTACAGAAATATATATCCTCACACTAAATTACCTTATTTTATAGTGAAACTGACTTCAAATTTTTAAGGTGGAAATAATTAGAAGTTATAATTTGAAATAGATATATTTATTATAAATATTTACATTGAAAGGAATAAAGACTTAAGAATGGAGTCAATGTGTTGAGGCAGCAGTTAATGCTCATGGGAGAGGATGAGAGGAAGACTACGTACATACATACAAATTATTTTTACACGCATACTCTTATATATTGCTGGAACAGTGTTATTTGTATAAGAATAAGAGGTACTGCACTGCAAACCTGACTTTTTTTTTTACAAGAAGACATTGCTATAGCTTCTTTAAGAAGGCAACACTATCAACTAGACAAGGCAGTAACATGAACTAATAGCTCTGAAGTAACGTATGTATTCCCTGGATCTTACAGCTTTTATTTTGTTGTCCTCGGTTAAATGAGATCTAGTGCAGTAAATGTACCAAAGGATTAAGGTACTTGTACTGTACTGAAAGTGGCAAAATTGCATGATATATTGTATGTCAAGGTTGGCATTCCCTGTAATGTTTTCTAACACGTTGGTGATCTGGCGCCTCTGTGCATTCTTGACTGTAAACGTTTTGGGCTCCCCCAGCCAACTTGCAGGCTGCTCAACGATGCAAAAATTTGATATAATCTTTTTACAATTTTTAAGTTATTTGTTGGGTTATAACTATAAATTTAGTGTCAGAATGTTCACAAATGAATTCTCTAGAGAATATATGCAAAAGCAAAAGTGTATTTATAATAGATTATGCTCCTCTCCGTGCATTCCTGGCCATAAACATAGCAGGTTCAGCAGATTGCACCTAGCAGCGTTTAAAATACTGGCAGTCACAATCATTTTACATTTTCTAAGTTGTTGGGTTATAGCTGTAAATTTGGTGTCAAAATATTTGCAAATGAATTCTCTAGTGAACAAATGCAAAATCAAAAGCGTTTTTATAATAGATAATGCACAATGGTGATGAATATACTGTACAAATGTATATGAATAGCACTTGGATGATGCATTTTAGCATTGTCGAATCGTTTACTGTCTAAAGTATGCACGACACATTTTACCATCATCAGAATGGGAAAGTGATAACATGTGGCATCATATAAAAACATCAACATTGTCTTGTTAATTTATTATTTGTTTACTTCTTGCATTTTATTATTGCCATTATTAAAATACATACTGTACTATATTCTTGTGTGTATTATTTTCATAATAATACTGTACTGCTCATGTCTGCATTCATATTTATTATTGCTAAAATATCTACAGTTATTCATCTTTTATTCGAACATGAGTTTTCTAATGCATCTGATTTGATGAATTCAGTATTTATTTTTCATCAAGACAGTGGGTGGGGCAGAGGCAATTTATAAGAACTTACCAACTATTCAAGAATGGTTGGTCCCAACTGGTACGGATAAGAGGTAAATAACTGTAAATGTGCATCATGAACTCTCACATAAACAGTATAGAAGAATAGTGTCATATTACTGTTCTTTTAATTACATCCAGCCTTCATAACTGGTTCAAACAACTGTACCATCAAGTCCCTTTACACTGACCTCTGTTGATATGGGAATGTTAGATGGAAAAGTAACCTCAGTTGGAACATGGCGTGGCACGTCATATCGTTCCATGGGGTCACTTGGGATGGGACGTGGAGTATCGTATCTTTCCATGAGGTCAGACAAAGAGCCAATTCTTGAGTATCCGGGGCCAAGATTACTCGAAGGTGGACATGTTGGACTTCCAGGCACCAGACCACTTTGACCCAAGCGAGAATATGGAGGAGTCTGATTTCCAGTAGATGCTTGTGATTGAATGGGAATAATACTAGTGTTAATGGCCTGTGGTGGTGCCGGTAATGGAAGCTTAGAAATGGATTTTTGGGTGTCAGGAAACTGTGCCACAGGTTGATTCTCACTGGAAGGACTCTGTTTGGGGATCATATAGCCCTCAGAATCCTCTATAATATTTGTGTAAGTTGGAGTTTCAGGTGTTGTGGCTTCAACTATTTTTTCCATTTTTCCAGAATTATCTTTCTTTTCCTTTATTTCCTCGTAGACATGATCTGTACTGTATACAGAGGTTGGGCGATTTAAAGGAAAGTTTTTATCAAAATCAACATCAGGATTATAGGAAGGATTGTCTATTGCTGTGCTCCAATGTGGTGTACCATCACTCACTGATGTACTGTTACTGGCAGACCGAGAACGGCCAATAGGAAGAGTAGACACTGTTGACAGTGTTGTTCTGGATGATGTTGAAGATCTAATGCTAGAGCCTGGCATCATAATGTATCCATCAGCATTTGACCCAGTTCCAGTCATATCCAAGTACTGATTATAATGATCCAAGTCTATATACTGCTGTGGACGTTTCTTAATGGGTTCTACAGCCATAACTGAAGTAGCTGTGAAGTCTGTGGTTGGCAGTGTTTTGCGAGGAAGATCCATACTGTTATAAGGAGATATCTGAAGTATCTTCCGAGTTTCATCAGAATTTGCACTCATTCGACGGTACAGACAAGTGAAAAGCATGATGACAAGGACAAGGAGAATGGCTGTTATTAATACAAGACCAATCACCAGGAAGTTCGATGAGTTGCCTTGAGGATCTACCAAAGGTGTACCCTCTGAAAAGAAAAGAAAAGAAAAGAAATCCTATTAACATGTACATTACAGTATTGTGTTGATTCTATATATTCAAACTAACCACAAAGATTTGCTGAGATAGATAGATAGATAGATATAAAATATATATATATATAAAATATATATATATATATATATATATATATATATATATATATATATATATATATATATATATATATATATATATATATATATATATATATATATATATATGTAATATAATATATATATATATTATTAGGTTTCATGAGATGGAAATATATAATACTGTATTTGTTTGTTACATACATATGTATAGTACTGTATATACACAGTACATATACTGTATAATTATCAAGAAAATGGTTTTTAGAAGTTTTACCTTAATTTAATACATGTACATTAAAATGATCAGTAGAACACTTACCATGGTCATGAAGGGAGGCATTGTCAGGGTCAATAATATGCAGGTGCAGAAGAGGCCCTTGAAACACACTCGCTTCCTCTCCCACATGTACCACACAACGCCAGTTTCCCTCGTCCTGCTGCCGTACCTCACGGAGACGCAAAGTACAATTTCCTTCACTCAAGTCACCCTCCAGTCTATAGTCTCGTGTATACTTGGAGGGTTTGTTAGTGTCTTCTGCATCTGAAAATAATAAACACCACTTGTATCAACAATCAATTTATCAGTCTACAGTTTGATTGAAGTAGTGTAGTTGTTTGTTACATGTAAAATAATGTTATAAAGCAAGTGACGCAGCATTAGTATGACAATTAAATTTATTCAATAGCTACCTTGTGACATATTAAACATATCTCCATGGGGCATGATCCAAGAACATGAAGAGATGGGCTTATTTATTTGGCACTTGAGAGTGGCAGATTCTCCAATAGGAACATCCTGGATGTAGTCTTCATGAGTGGAATCAAATAATATGTGGGTTTTCAAACTTTTCCCACCATGTTGGTCATACTGAAAATGAAGTGCAGTATTAGGATGAGAGAATACTGAATACATTAATAAACATAAATTCAATTGCATCTGTAAAATAATAAATTGAAAGAGGATGCTGTAAGATTTACTTCAAACACGACCAAGATTGCATATTTAACAGTGGCTTAAATTCACCCTAGCTTACCTCTGATCCCTCTTCAGGATTGTTCTCTCTGCGACCCTCACGAGAAGTTAACTGGGTGTGGTCTGAGGGGGGTTCCCATGTGACACTTTCAGATTCTGTTGGTTAATTGTAATTTACTTATATTTGTATTCTATATACAGTACTTTAAAACAGTTTATAAGTTATTTTGCATCTAGATCCTGTTAGGGACAAGGGGTGTCCTTGAAGTCAATGCGTGCTGGCTTTGTTACATGGCTAGTGTAGCAATGGACATTCAAGATAGTAAAATAAAGCTAAAATTGCTATCTAAGGTAAAAATATACCGGTAATTACAGTTTTAGCATTCTCTAAATACAGTACAATATTATATCAAAGTTTAGTGGGAACTCAATTGTCCAGCCTCTGTGGGACTGGACCTGTCTGAACTACAGTACAGTATCAAGGTTTTCAGACAATCTAGATTTATGTATTTTATGTACTGTACTGTATTTATAATCAAGTGTTTTTAAGTTTTCTTAGTGTAAAATACATATTACATTCTTGTGCATTTATACACATACAAATAATATATAAACAATGCATTTCGAATATAATAATATGTATACAGTACAACATAATTTGGGTTGGGGGTGCAGGTTGAGGCAATAGAGACTAAATCACATTGTTACAAATCACATCAATATATACCAAATTGTACAAATAAAAATATATTGCCCTCTCCAGAAAAATGATTGCAGTCCTTCACTGCACCAAACATGACATTTTCTAAAACTTCTTTACTTGTAAATATTCACTACAAAAGGGATGAGAATAGTAAACATTGAAGACGTATGATCTGCTGGGATCCCTACACAGTTACATTCAGTTCATTCATATGAAATGTACTTGGTCATTTAACACCCTTTTACTGTTGGCAAAGTTTTGTTCAGATGGTAAATTAATTTTGGACCATCTGAGTTTACATACAGTAGTGTTACAATCCAGACTATCGAGAAGCTACTATACAATATTGTTTGTTACTTTAACATTGACTATAAGTTACAGCATGTAAGATTATTCTCTAGTGGGACTTGAATGTCATTCACGTTCAAGATAGTTTATTGAAATAATAAAATACATCCCAAATGGAGAGAGTAGCTTAGGCTATTTCTACCCTTGTTTAAATGTCATGTGTTAAGCTAATCTGATTAGTGCCCATTAGTGTTTAATGGACCATCTATTGAAGATGGTTACTTTTTCTAGAAATATATGATACTCACTAGTGATAACTCTGAGAACAGCTGGTTTGGACATGTGGAATCTTGTAGAGTGAAAATTATGACCTTGACACAACCATTGTCCCTCTTGAACTTTTCGAACCTAGTGAAAGGACAGAGTTAAAAAAAATGGATTATACTGTTATGATAAAAATTTAAGATAATAAACCTCACCCTCTAATTTTAAATTTGTAATGCAAATGGACCTTAAATTTGCTGGAAATGTGTGTGTAAAAAAAGTTTATGCAGAATTCAGTTACAGTATCTGTTTTGAGTAATCAGAACTTGGCAAACATTACTACTTTGTACAAAACATATTATCACAATACAGAACAGTACTTGTAAACTTGTTTAGTATACCTGTTTAATTTTGATGGAGCAGTCCCTTTCATGGGCTGGGTTAAACTCTTTGACTAATACAGGTGATACACGTTTATCAAAGAAGTTAAAGCCCAGTTCCAGGAAGTACCAGCGACATAAGTGAACTGGGCCCGCAAGCTATAAGGGAAGAGAATGTAATAACTTGATTAGGTGTCATGAGAAGTGTTGGAATATCATTAGTACTACTGTACTGTACACAAATTACAAATGTTAATAAATACTCAAGAATATGATCAGTTCCACTGGACTTCATAGCCTATCTTGTGCCATAATAATGTATTTTATGCTAAATGATTTAGTGATGTACTTCATCTTGGCTGTAATTATGTTGGAATAGTTGAATAAATACTTACCAGGCACTTGAAGACAGCCCGTTCACCCTCTGGAACAGTTATGTTTGAGGGTTGTATGAGAAAATCTGAATCGGGGGATGGAGATGGCTGTAGCTGTGATGTCACTCCCGGGAGTCTCCAGACGGCCATGCACACTGTGGAAGGTCATATTTTGTTAGGATGTATATGTGTGCTTTGCTTGTTGCACTCTCCTTTACAATTTGAGTTTTCCCCCTTGATCATTGTTAATAATCTGGATGAGAATGAGAAGCCACTTGTCTAGCCATTTTTAAATTACTGTAACATAACTTGAATGTAACATAAATTCAACAAATTATAAACAAGAGAGTTGTAATGGGTTGAGATGATAATACAACCTGTCCTCAGAGGGTATGTGCTCTCGTGGTAATTACTTCAAACCACTACATAATAATTGCTATTATCTACTCCCTGTCCACGGTTAGGTTTGGTTGGGTTAGGTTAAAACGGTGTATTATTCTCAAATGTGAAATATGAAATTCAAAATCTATTTGAGTATCCCCTAGTATCTGACATTAAAGAAAACATTGGCATTAAGGTTTGTTTGCCAGACACTTATATTTTAAACCCTAGAGTTACAATACAATATAGTTATAACTTGAAAATATTCCATTCACCTACCCTTAGGCTATCGCTACCCTCTGTTTTAAGACAAGGGTTCATTTGCCAATTCACAAGTAGAATATTATTGGAACCCTAGTATGTATTCAGACATCACAAATATCTAGATAACTATCCTCGTAGGCCTCGTAGCCTGGTGGATAGCGCGCAGGACTCGTAATTCTGTGGTGCGGGTTCGATTCCCGCGCGAGGCAGAAACAAATGGGCAAAGTTTCTTTCACCCTGAATGCCCCTGTTACCTAGCAGTAAATAGGTACCTGGGAGTTAGTCAGCTGTCACGGGCTGCTTCCTGGGGGTGGAGGCCTGGTCGAGGACCGGGCCGCGGGGACACTAAAAAAAAGCCCCGAAATCATCTCGAGATAACCTCAAGATATCCAGGTGGTTTAAGAGGGAGCATGGTTTCTTAGTGTAATCACTAATAATGCTTGAAGTATTTATAGTGGGCCTATTCATGTAGTGGTATATCATGGGTGGGCATGCAGTGCAAAATGTTGCTGAGAGTTATTATTCACGGTTTTAGGCATTTTTTTTTTCATGTAGATTGAACTGGACACAAGTTGGCTTTTACATTCAGTATAGTGTACACATTGTCCACGTAACATGTTGTTTCATTCTATATGTTACAGTGTGTTGTGGAACCTGCATAGACCAGTCCAACTGTGCCTTGCTCAGTATATCCTTTCTTACATGCATTCCATCACTCTAGCCCCACTGTTGCCTTTGTGCCCGTTTTTCTAACGAATATATACTCTTCATACATATGGCCTTGCAGACTATAAGGTGTTGTCGTTCATGATAAAGTGCAACTATGTACACAACACTTAATGTAGTGTTTTGTTCAATATCATTATATGCTTCACCGAAACAATGGCATATACAGTATTTAAACCTTGTGGAATCATAATTAATAACCAAGCTGTTTGTTAGACTACTACTCGCCAGAAACTATTAAAATCAGCATGCAAACTATGTGATCAGATCGCTTATGGGGGACTGATAAAGGTTCTGTAGTGTGTGTTGAGGGGGGGAAGATCACACTTGCGTGTACACATCTCTCCTGCTGCAGGAATCGAACCCACAGCCTTGGTTGTGAGCCGACAATTATTGCGTGTGTGAGAATGTCTATTAGAGTAGATCTGGAGTGGGTTCTGGTAGTTCTTTATTCCCCAAGCTAGGTTTGGGGAGCGGATGAGCAACTCATGAACGGCAGAGTTTAAAAGTTAAGTCGCCAAGCCAATCTTGGGGGGGGGGGCGGTAGGGGGGAGTCAGACTAGAATTTTAATAAATTGGTCCAACAGACTGTTGCTTGGAGCAGCCTGCAGGCCACATATCTACTACAACACGGTTAGTCTGGCACTTCTCACGGGAACGTGTCTTAATTTACTTGAACACGTCCACTTATATACCAGCAATATTCCTTATGATTGATGGGAGGATAGTAAATAGTCGTGGACCTCTGATATGCATATAGTGCTCTCTGAGCACTATATGCATATCCCCATGACACCTTTACTCTTCACCTTTTCCGCTTCCTACTGTATCTTTCACTTCAGCATTTTGTACGTATATGATATCTCTCGTCTCCTTTCTAGAGTACATTTTGAGAGCTTCATAGTGTCATTTTATGTACTCTTGTATTCGCTCTATTTCAGAAACAATTGATTTTAAAGTTGTAAAGTAGAAACAATTGTGGTGGAATCCCTGGATTTGAAGGTTCTCATAATCCATCCTATAATTTTCCTAATCCATCCTATAATTTTCCTGGCTGCTGCTGCATTCACTTTTCTAATTATAATTATTTATTAATTATAACAAAGTAAAATGCCTAACATTCCCAGATCCTTTACAAGTGGTTTTCTTTCTATGAAGGAGATTTGAGTACTCGCCAAGTTGTACTCACCAAGTTGTGCTTGCGGGGGTTGAGCTTTGTCTCTTTGGTCCCGCCTCTCAACCGTCAATCAACTGGTGTACAGATTCCTGAGCCTACTGCAGGGCTCTATCATATCTAGACTTGTAACTGTGTATGAAGTGTGCCTCCACCACATCACTTCCTAGTAAAGGAAGTGAATGTACGTGTGCTTGAGTGTGCGCGCGATGGTGAAAGGAAAGAGGAGGACTATCAGGAGAAAGCTTGTTGTTGTTGTTATAGATTCAGGTACTCGGAACAAGTTCCAAGTAGCACGGGCTATGGTGAGCTCGTAACTTACCTGGCACAGGAGCGGGGCAGTAGCACGGGCTATGGTTAGCCTCCGGAGAAAGCTCCAAGCCATTGACTATATAGCACTTAGAAGGTATCAGGATAAGGATTTGGGATGGGACGGGGAGAAATATTAGTGCCCAATCACTAGGACGGTCGGGGATTGAACGCCGTCCTGCATGAAGCGAGACCGTCGCTCTACCATCCGCCAAGTGATTGGTTGGGGAATTGGATGCTTAGTTGTAATAGGTGAAAGTGATACTGTGATACTAGTATGACGCTCTGATTTATGTACAGTACATATATATTCTCCACATATATGCTATAATGGTAATTGTAAATCAAATCAATCACATCTTCGGCTCTGGTAATATATTTTGCTCTAGCTAGTTATGTGTACAGTTCTGGTTTAATTATTGTTTTATGAACTTCTTGCGATCATTCCAGTCAGGTTAGGGGAGGGGGGGGTAAGGTGATTCATCTCCGCCTGGTGAGTGGCGCAGGTGAGTAATGATGAGTCTATGCCGGTTCATCCGGTCCACCTCTCCATGTTGGAGTTGTAGCTCGAGCTGGCGGAGAGTTTGTCAATCAACTCTTCCATAATAAATGTTACTTGATATGATACAAAATCTTGTGTTTTGAATATTACTGTCGGTAATGGTTGTATGCTGGTTATGTTAATATAATGAGGGTGGGGTAGTGTGGTGTGCTAGCTGTTGTTGTTGTTGTTATAGATTCAACTATAATTTTCACAAAGTAGGCCTACCTATAATTTGTAATTGATTTAAATACTTAATCCTACTTATGATCAATGGTAGTGTTTGCGCTAGTGGCAGACTACAGTTACCTCCAAGCAATTTCCCATGCCAGATGGATTCCAAGCCTAACCCAGGCGACCTTCCACGTGTTTTCAAGTGTACGCTGGGAGCACTAGTACAGAAATTCATAAAGCTTGTCACTGCAGTTTGTAAGGTAAGTTGAAAAGCAGAACTCTGGGGGCCTGAAAACTTCGTGTGAGAGTGAACAGGATTTGCGTCGTATTTCATGCTGTCAGGAAGATATTATCTCGAAACTGCTGCTTGCGTCTGAGAAATTCATTAGGATGCGCCTTACTCCTTCCCTTCATAAGAGTTCAAGATGATTTATCTAACATGTTAATTTAATTAAGGCCAACTCCAGTCAGCATTTTGATTGTAGGTGTTTTTTGTCGAGAAAGTTGCGTTGGGGTGGGAAGGGTTGGACATCTTTTGTATAATTTAAAGATTATAGGAGTAGATGTTTGCTTCTGTGTAGGCTAAGAGCTTGTCCTCCCACAGCATACGTGCAAATTGAATCCATTTGTTTCCCAGAACACGATACACATTGATGGTCCAAAGGCCGTCGGGTTTCAGCCTATCAGTTGGCTGTATGCTGTATATTCCAGATATTGACATTAAAATCTTAGTAGGTCAGTATTTGACTGACTTGGGCTGGAGGAAGGGTTGGGATACCCACATAATTCTTATCTTACTTGCTTGTCACTTGCTTAGCTAAATGAACTGAGGTCGAGTTATGTCTCTGTAACCTTTTCCACCACCGCCCACGGGATGGGTATAAGGCGCATAATAAAGAAGTTGAAAATTATAAATAAGAGATATCACGGATGTAACTTATGATTCATCATATTTTCTTTGTAAGTTTTGTGAGACGGTCTCTCGCACAAGTTTATATTTCAGACACGCGTTCATGTTTAAAATATGTTAATTATATCCTCATTACAAGGAGACCATTGCTGACATGCGGTGCTAAAACGTTTGGGGCAATGTTTTCAAGGTTGTGAATCCAGACGTCCTCGGGAACACAATATAAATCCTAGTAGTTAGGCTTCGACACACGCGTAACTCAGTTTAATGGACCTTTCGTATTTGTTATGGGGCAGAGAATTACTCATTTACGTTGATGGAAATATACTTCCCTTTGCCCGTTGTACGAAGACTTGCCTGTTTTCTTACAATTCTAAAATATGGTGTACAGTTGTGTATACACAAGTATGATCACAGATGATAATCAAATTAATCCCAGTTTGTAAACAAAGACAAATTTTGTCGTAAATAGTGAGCTTGAAATACAGGATAGCATGAGGGTGTAGTTGTATTGGCCGTCAACCTCCCTCCAGGACTTACCCAGCCAATATGGGAGTGAAAGTTTGACTGCCGTCATGGGACATGTTGTAATGCTGAACATTGTGTGGTCTATAACATAATCATAACACTAAAACTGTCATCATGAAACTTAAACACAGGAAACCCAAGAAGATTAAACAGTTAGGCTACTCTTGGGACTCGGGCGGCCCCGACAACTGGCTTCCCACACAACCTATTTTTGAAATGTGGTAAATGGAATGCTAACTCACGATTCCCCGCCTTTTGACCATCAATCTCCATAAAAATCCGACACCTACTATGCGACACGTTTCTTCGATTGTATCAAGTCATGGAAGGTGAATTTCCTCATGAATCAGAGAAGCCGTTCTTCCCTGAGAACGAGGTTGCTACATTTCCTGTTTGGAGTATGGTCTAGTGACCCGGTGTCCCTTGTCATCTTCACACGACGAGATGGCTCTTCCTATGGACATCAAACGTAGGATAAAATAGCAAGTAGACAATTATCATATGAAAAGAATCATGAATTAACAGGTATGCTATCCTTTGCCCGTTAAGGCATTGAAAAATAAATTTTATTGTTGTATTTTCGAGTAGTTGTGTTCATTAGATTTCTTAGATGTCCAGTTACTAGTTACTGACATCAGAAGAGTTTATAAGTTGTCTAGATCGTTTGGTCCAGTTCTTAGAAGACTCGTGCACTCAAGAATCGCCACCTGCCTTATGTTGAGACAACAAGGCTGCTTAGTTGTGCCTCGGGCGGTAGTGTGGGCGGCCTCGGGCCAAGTTGTTGAGAGAAGAGTCGCTTACTGTACAAGGCTTGCCAGTTCCTCCTTCCTTGATTGCCGACACAGCTTGTTTAGTTGCTGTAGTCGTTTGTGTACTGACCGCTTGGAGAAACACAGGACACGGCACGTGATTGGTCAGCCTGGGATTAGCACATCACAGTGATCATATTTAAAGTGGTACACTACACTGGGAATTCTGGCTGTGACGACCACGTGGGCACTTTTCCTGGTTCTGACGTGATATACAGTCGTGATGTCGTCCAATTTAATTAACTTTTTTTTACGATAGTAGTATCTGAACATATTATGTTAATATAATAACAAAGGAACGTTAGTAGGCCTACTGGAACATAGTAAGTCATGCGAGACTAGTTTGATTGAGTTATTTTCGTATTCAACGTTTTTTATATATATAGTGTCCAATTTATTTGCTTCAGTGATCCAACATGACTGTGTGTTTCGTCATATACAACTATTACCAAACAAATACCTGCTCTCTCTCTCTTTCTCTGGTGTTAAGATGTTCGCCTATTGAGTCAGTACAATCCAGGTTCGAACCTTGGAGTAGGAAGATCATTGGACACTTCCTAATTCACATATCTGCCCTTGTGCTCTCGGCATTAATTGGGGACTGGAATGTAAAACTTGTGACGGGTCGTATTCCCGGAAAAAACAGCGCTGAATAACCAAACTGGTTCCAGATCGTGGCTTGAGGCCATAATTCTCATACCTATACACGTCATGAATGGAAACTTGTCTTAAGTTAAATTCATTGTTTTGAGTCTAGTCTTGATTATATAATATAACCTTGTCTGCGTCGTTCATCCATTTGTGTACATATAGTTATATAAAGCAGTTGAAAAATTGTACTAAGTGTGTAATGTGGTGTTGTAGCGACGCTACGGGTCCAGGAGAGGTCTCCAAAGTTAGCATATGCCAGACGGTCCCCTATTTCCTGCCTGCATCACAATGTCTGGGTGAAGTCATTTCCTGTTTTTTTCTCCTGCGTTTCACGGCACTGTAAATCTTTTATAAATTAGTTTTTTTTTAATACAGAATTGATTCAACCTAATTTACGACCGTCCCCCCCCCCTCCCGAGTAATTATGTTAATTGGCGTATACGTTTGCCTAGCTTCCGTATTTATTTATTGTTATATCCTAAGGACTATATACTCACGCAGGTAAAACTTCCACACTAATCGTATACCACCGGTTTTTGTGTTGGTTTTAATTGTTTCGTTAACTTGAAATATGTAGCTGTGTGCAGTAAAGGACGTTAACAATTACGACAAACTACAAAATCATGCTTTTTTAAGCTCTTTACGAGAATTAGTTTGGATGAGGAAGCGACGAGCAGCCGTGACTGACAGGTGAGCCTTGTGACAGTTGACATGTATATAATGCCATGACACAATCAAGCTGCTACGGGCTCACCATAGCCCGTGCTACATGGACACATCGTTGAGAGTAGTTAAATCTAAATCATCATCAAGCTGCGGTGTGCACGGACACAATTCCAACAGCCTTTGTCATCTTTGGTGACTGGGGGGGGGGGTTATTGTTTACAAATATTTGATGTTTCTCAATCACGCCTCGTTACGAATGACGCCATATTTTGAAACGTAAACGTTTTATGGCTCTTTCGGTCAAACTGCTGTAGTTTCATCATACTCTTAATGCGAAAATATAAGTAACTTGTACTTTAGTTAAATAACTATTTGTTAAATGTGTGTGTTGGGGGTGGAAGGGAGCGTGTGTTGAAACAACAATGTTGAGGTTAATTGTTTACTTCCTTGCCATGCGTGATCGTACAATCATGCAGGCAGTGATTGTACTTTGTATGCCTCGAAATGGGTAATTAAATACGAGCATTTGAGAGTGATGGATTCTGTGGCGGCTTGGGTCGTCCTGCTGAGGATGCTAGGCTACACCCACCTCCAACATCTACTAACCTACGTGCAGGTTAGTAGAGGTAGATTCCCAATCCCCAAAATGAAGGGGAGGGGGGGGGGGATGAAGAGATGAGGCAGTAGTTAAGTATGAATACACACTTTCAACCTACATATATAAAGTGTTTCGATTTATGTTCGTCAGTTATTCTCATAAGAAAGACCTTTCATATTACTGAATATGGTGAATTCGGCAGGGTCGGAGAGCCTAACACGGCCATACAAGTTTCCTCGAGAGCGTAGTGTTTGTACAGTGATAATTGTGGTGGTGTGTGGGGAGGCTGTGGGGTCTTATTGATCCTCACCTCTGGTGCACCACCCATGTCCTGCCTCTCTTCAACTGCAGCCTCTTCTGCCGGCCATGACAGGGCACACGCCGAGCACTCTCTTGCTTGGTCTGGAGCTCTGGTGGAGCACACTGTTGCTTGGTCTGGTGCTCTGGTGGAGCACACTGTTGCTTGGTCTGGAGCTCTAGTGGAGCACTGTTGCTTGGTCTGGTGCTCTAGTGGAGTACTCTGTTCCTTAGTCTGGAGCACTGGTCGTCGTCGTGTATGGGCTACCATAGACCCTTCCTAACATCACCTCTGTGGGTGTGTTCATAACAGCAATTCATTCAGCTTGTGGATGTCACTAATAAACACAGTGTCTATAGCTACGTGATATAGATGCTTGAGCAACTGTTGGTGTTCACTGTCAAAGAACATTTCGATGTATTATAATAGATATCCAAATTCTTTTGTAGGCCATATAATCCGCTTGTACGAACGATTCACCAGGACGTGTGGAGAATTATTAAGTAGGTTTTGATTACGTTGGATTATCATTGTGTTAAAACGTTGGTACACGTACTTTAAGGACTAGTTGAAATCAGACCAGTGTTACGATGTCATGGGTTGAATAGCATCGACGTTAATGGCAAAACTGTTTAAGGCAGTAATAGCAGCGTTAACATTTGAGTGAGCGAGCAAGATGCCAAGTGAATCTGGTACGTGACCTCACCGCTGTGGCAAGCTGTCAATAAGCCTGGCTTGTTGACTGTGGCAAGCTGTCAACAAGCCTGGCTTGTTGACTGTGACAAGCTGTCTACAAGCCTGGCTTGTTAACTGTGGCAAGCTGTCAACAAGCCTGGCTTGTTGACAGCTTGCCACAGTCAACAAGCCTGGCTTGTTTGACTGTGGCAAGCTGTCAACAAACCATCATCATTAGTTGACTTGACTGCTGCGTCTCGACTTCACCGGAAACCCGCACATTATCGTGCACTGCAAGTCTGTGAGACGGTTCTGGGTTTCACAAACCGCCAAGGCTGTGCAGAAAGGGAATGGTGTTGGAGGCATTTGGGATGCGGCCAACATGTGGTGAAACTGAATACCTCTCAGGTCGCTTTCACCTCTTCAATCTGAGCCCCGTCTCATACAGGCAGACAAGGACGGTCCAGTGAAGACGGTACAGCGAGCCCTCACTCGGGGAGCAAGAGGGCAAGGAGGTCCTTGAACATGTAACAAAATTAAAGGCAAATAATTGGTCTGCTCTGGTTTTCTTTAAAAGGAGATATTAACCAAGACGGAAATGTTTTAGCTGTAAACTTGTAAAATGTTAAACGTTGTTTTTTTAGATAATAAATCCATACCAGTTTAAAATCATACTTTTATCATGATTTAAAAAATCATCATTTAAAATCATACATTAAAATCATACCAGTTTATCTCCAAAATCTACAATAATATAAACTATTTTCTGTATATATATACAAATAAACATTACATCGAGGGAGGGGAGGGGTTATAAATGTTAGTGGCTTCCATTAACTAAGAACATTTCCAGTTTAAGTGCAACTGTTGTTAGCCTAAGTATTAAATTTTATGAGGATTATTTTTTTTTTTTTACAAATTGTATTTTCTTATATTCATAATTCGGCAACAGTTTCATATGGGATATTATTTTGTATAAGACATACACACCAGCGTGTTTGTATTTCTCAGTTGTAGGAACAATGCTCATGATCACATTGTGCTGTTTTTACACTCGATAATGGGGGTTTCTATTTACATTTATAAATTGAATTCTGTAAATTAAGGCAGAACTGTTCTTAAATGAAGTTTTATACATAAAACATTTAAAAAACAGTGAGGATTACTTGTTCCCATTAAATATTAATTGATTTCTATTTAAAGCATAGTTCCTTTTGTGTGTGGTGAAAATGCAATGAAATAATTACAACTACATTAAAATCTTCTTAATACATGAAGAGTTCCCGTCGTAAATTAACAGGTAAATCATAAAGTTTGTATCGTGTTATAGACATAAGAACAAAGGTAACTGCAGAAGGCCTATTGGCCTATACGAGGCAGCTCCTATTTATAACCCCCCAATCCCACTCATATACATGTCCATCCCACGCTTGAAACAATCGAGGGACCCCACCTCCATCGCGTTGTGGCAGATGGACTTAGAACCACGTCGCCGGCACCATTGGAATGGATTTAAGAAGAGGATGATGCGTGCTAGATAGATACACACTTTTAAGTTCTGTTGGTCAGATCACACTAGAAGGTGAAGGGACGACGACGTTTCGGTCCGTCCTGGACCATTCTCAAGTCGATTGTGAGAATGGTCGACTTGAGAATGGTCCAGGACGGACCGAAACGTCGTCGTCCCTTCACCTTCTAGTGTGTGTGGTCTGGTCAACATACTTTAGCCACGTTATTGTGACTCCTCGCCTGCACTT